GGATAGGCTGCTATGATTATTGGTTGCTCCTACCTATAAAATATTGTTCAAAGCACAAAGAGTGATTAAGGTGTAACTCTGGTTTCATGGTGATATTCTGCTGATGAATATGTTAACTGTGTAACTAGCTCACCATCAAACTACATTAACTCTTCAACATCATCGAACTTCATTACCTAAACCTAAATGTGACTAACCTTTCTGCCACTCACCCACATAATGGATATAGGGGTCCTTAAAAAAAACTAAACTAACACTTCATATATACGTTAAACTACGCGCCTAGCTCGAAATGCTGTTGTAACCTTCTTGAATCCAAACAAATAAAGCAGAGAGCGAGGAGGAGGAGGAAGGCTGGCAGGGAGGGCGCTGCCCCCAAGCCTGAACTAGTTATCCCTGACATATTTTCTCTGGTATGAGGTCACACGCTCATGACTCAATAAGTTATGTTTCTGAATTCTGAAAAACTGAGTCAACTCTAACTGTTTCTTATGTTAGCAAGAGAATCATCGTTATATACTTGCAGCAGATACGTTGGGTTGAATGCGTGAAGGGCATGGAGCAAGAGTCACTACTACTAAGTTAATTTACATGCATTAAAAATTATCATAGTAGCAGACTTAATTATGAAAATATTTAAGACTGGTTATGATACATATAAAAGCAATGCATATAATTAAATTACGGTGATGTCAATCACAATGAAATGTGTCAAATATCAAACGTACTTGTATGGGGGCAAGTAATAGGATCACTGGACTGACGGACGCTGTCAACAGCTTGAATACCACTTGGCTACAAGTATCTGTCACAGTTCAGCTTGTATAATGATCTAGATGAAGTAACGTGTGTGAACTAAGACAGGAGCACACACACACACACACACACACACACACACACACACACACACACACACACACACACACACACACACACACACACACACACACACACACACACACACATACACACACATACACACACATACACACAGACACTAGAGCATTAAATTTTACATCGTGAAAAATTTTACCATTTACAGACAAATCTATCTTCACATTACTTGAAACGGCAAATCATGGTTTGGTGTTGGGTCTAAGAACTATCAACTTCTGGAGGGTTATTAAGACAACAACAAGTGCTCAACTGACCAACTAGCAAGAATGCTAGTCCAGATCTGGACATAGTCCAGACCCAAAGGAAACTCTCAGTGCATATATACACCGAGAAGCAGATATCAACTCTCGGTGTATATTCCTGTGAGAAAATCATATTACGAATGATAAATTATCTGGAAAGTTTTGCACTGAACTCGTGTTTTGCGTCTAGTAGATAAACGACGTATGCATGATTAATGTATGAGCTGTGTAGTATGTAGACTAAAAAACAAAAACGGCAACTCTTAAATTATCCTGTAAATTAAAAATTATGTTTTGTATAAACAAAAGTACAGTCTTTTGTTAATGTCATTCTCCATTGTACATTCATAAACGTTAATGCAAAACGTTTATTTTTTTTTACATTATATATGAGTCTTATCAAAATACAGGAATGTTTTAAGCACAACTCAGCAAGACCAGGTTATTAAGTGTGGGGACACGTCGAGGGCAGTAATGGACTTGGGTGCTACTCTCAGGCTGGAGAGCACAGTCCTCCTAACGTTTCCCAACGTCAAGAAAACGGTCAATTTAAAGTCTCCTCTCCTAATCTACCAGAGGACCCAAAACAGAAATTGGGATAGTGCACAATAAACTAGCCGCCCTCGGCGGCAACAATAAAAAATCAAATTTCGCGAGTCGCTTCCATTGCCTAGTACGACAATTTTTGGCCTATGTAAAAAAAGCGAGCGAAATGCGACGTTTTTTTTTTTTTTGTAAGAGTACAGGTTGAGCAAACAAGGACATTCCTGGTAAAGGTCGGACCCATCCTCAACACTTTGAGCATGCTATCCTTTCATCCATGAGACACTACTATGCGCAATTCTTAAAATATTTAAAGTAATATAATTTTGTGTCTGCAAATAAATACAAAATACTAAAAAAAAATAAAAATATATTAACAAAATACATACATATACATCCTTGAATACACAGAATTTCAAATTACAGTAATTATAATCTGATATTGATAACAATTTCTGAAATTTAGATAAAAGTATTACAACTTAATTTTACGTCTTTTTTTGTACATGGTCTAAAATTCTATAAATTAATGATTTTTATGTAAAATAACGAGGTTTATCATTTTATTAGGCAATACTAGTCAGAGATATTTAAAATCTTGTTAATTATAGGAATTTATAAGCAAAAAACAGTTTCCTTAAATTTCTTTAGTAAAGAAACGTCATATAACATTAGTTGCATTCCTCCATGTGAACCAAAATACGTATATAAAATTAGCATGCATTCCCTCATGTGAACCAAAATATGTCATATAACATTATCTGCATTCCCCCATGTGAACTTATCTGCGTCATATAACATTAGCCGGAGATGGGGCGGGTAAGATATCTAACATTGAAGGAGATGGGGCGGGTAAGATATCTAAGATTGAGAGACATGTGACTAAAGAATACACTAGACATAAATTACCAGCTGTAAAGACTATACATGTAGTGCCCGGGCAGCCGGGGCGCATCCGATCCCATGATCGTCGTCGCCCCTAAATCAACACAACAACAACATGTAGTGCCCTGCAAGGTTCCAGAAGCCAGATTCACGAAGCAGTTACGCAAGTACTTACGAACGTGTACATCTTTCCTCTATCTTTGACGGCTTTGGTTACATTTATAACAGTTTACAAACATAAAAACGTCCCAATCAACTGTTGTTATTGTTATAAACAGCCTCCTGGTGCTTCGGAGTTCATTAACTGTTTAATAATTGTAAACAAAGCCCCCCCCCCAAAGATTGAGAAAAGAGGGACAGGTTCGTAAGTGCTTGCGTAACTGCTTCGTGAATATGAGCCCAGGCTTCCGGTCCGTGTTTGCTGAGAAAGGGGACAGCCTTTGCTTTTGTTAAATAACAAGATATAAAGCAGGCGGTGTATCAGTAGTCACAAGTAAAACTTTCTTGTTTTTAAAAAAGGAAAAACTTTCCTTTTTAAGACTGCTCATAGCCTAGTTGATAGTGCTACGGTCTCACACCCGTGGGGTCCACGGTTCGAGACCCGTACAGTCCAGGTGAATGGAATAGTCACAAGTCTTGAGGGAAGGTAACTATCAGGGGAAAGCGCCAAGCCATCACGACTATACAGCCCTTGGAAGGGGGTCAGGATAAGGATTTGGGATGGGATGGGTGGGGGGAAGGATAGGTGCCCCAATTACTTGGACAGTCGGGGATTGAACGACGACCTGCATAAATCGAGACTGTCGCTCTACCGTCCACAGCCTTTGTTTTTGTTGAATAACAAGATATCAAGCGGGCGGTGTATCAGTCACAAGTCTTGAGAGGAATTCATATTTTAGATGGGGAAAATATACCGTACGTAAGAATTGAAGAAATCGCAGATCTATTTGACTAATTATAATCTATTTACACCACACGAGGCAGTTCCTTAGTGCGGTATATCCAATCTAACTCATTCACATTTGCAGATGTTGAAACAATCACGTGATCCCACAACTGCTATCCTACCCGGTATCTTATTCCATAACTCTACATCCCTGATACCAAACCAGTATTTACCCCACGTCTTTTATAAATCTAAACTTACCTAGTTCATATCCATTGTTTCGTGTCCTATTTTGTGTTGATATATTTAATACCTTACTATCCCCCCTCTTTCTTTATTATTCATTTGCTTATACATTTCAGTCATGCCACTCCTAGAAGCATAAATTCACGTTCAAGTGAATTATGTCCATTATATAATATGACGACCAAAACTAAACTGCATAATCTAAATGGGGCCTAAGAACAGAAGGATATAGCTGATGAATAACACCTGGCGTTTTATTACTAACGCTTATGCGAAAAAATACAGTATCCTATTTGCCTTATTCCGAATATTATTGTATTGATTTTTTTTGTTTGAGGGGGGGGGGGCCTTTACATTCCTGAGAATATATTAAGTTCCAATATTATTGTGTGTTGACTGCGAATGTTATCAACCGTTATCTCACTGTTTTGTATTTACTGATGACGTAAATAGATGTAGTCATCCCAGTAAGACAAAGTTATGATAATTATGCAGCTGGAGCCAAAAATGACATCATCACGTCGTATCATCAAACAGTTAAATTTTTATGTATTTATATTTTAGGCGTTAGATACATCACTTATTCCTGGAGAATGACACAGTTGGGACCACCGTAAACTACATTAGTTCCAAGTGCTACAGGTTTGATATATGGTTCTCTTAAAACGCTTCAATGACAACAGCTTACGTAATTTGGAGGGAATTCAGAATATTCTTTTTGTCATGATGCTCACACCGCTCTGGTAAGGCTCTTCCCAGGAGGGTTTAGTGACGCCAGTTACTTGCATGCTTTTGTAAGGAAGGACTGTAAAACTTTGCAGAGAATACAAGCAAGATTGTACAATAAGCTTTTGTACAATATATAAAAGTGGCGCAAGGGTGAATGAGTTGAAGAGGGATTTTCCACCCACATGGCGAACCTCAGACGACAACTGGCTCGCCCTCTTTATTTGTATTATTTGTCTTTCCTTTCGTTGTTCTCATTCTATCCTACTATTCTTACCGAGATAAAACCGTTTCATGTTGGGTATTATTTTAGTCATTGTTGTGTTATTTGCTTTTATGAAAGAAAGGGAAACATTTAATTGATTCTCAGATATCGTTGTAATGGGGTTGGGAAATTCTCCTCCCTTCTGTCATGTTATTTGCACCGTTGAAAACGGAATTTGGTTGTTGTATTGACCATATCATGCTTAAACAATTTGTTTTTATAATATATTTGTAAAAATCCAATTTCCATTGCTTTCTTCCGTAAAATGATGGGATGAGCGGTAGTGAGTGACTAGAATATTCCCCTGCAGTACCGGGAGCGTCATGCGGAAGTAAGCGTCGACTGGGACATCTCAGTGATGGAGATCCTAGAGAAGCTGGGCTGCCCCACTGACGGCGACACCGGCGAAGTCCAGGCCCAGGCGAATGAAGTTTATACCTACCGCAGAGGTACGTTCCTCCCTCCCCCAATCCTGGCCATCCTATTCCTCTGGCACAAGGTTATCATCTTTAAAGTTACTCCTCGTATGTCCTTTCACTTGTTCTATCTCTCGTCTACTGTGCCTCCCCTCACCTGTACCGCCCCTCGTCTACTGTCCACTCACCAGTACTGGCTATTGTCCCCCTCACTAGTATTGTTTACTGTCCCCTCACCAGTACTGGCTATTGTCTCCCTCACTAGTACTATCTACTGTCCCCTCATTAGTACTATTTACTGTCCCCTCACTGGTACTATCTACTGTCCCCTCACCAGTACTATCTACTGTCCCCTCACTGGTACTATCTACTGTCCCCTCACCAGTACTATCTACTGTCCCCTCACCAGTACTATCTACTGTCCCCTCACCAGTACTATCTACTGTCCCTTCACCTGTACTGCAGCTAGTTTATTCTTCCCTCACGATGACTGCCTCTCGTCTACTGTCTCCTCATCAGTATTGCCTCTCGTCTACTGTCTCCTCCCCTATCTTGCCTCTCGTCTACCGTTCCCTCATCTATCCTGTCTCTAGTCTACCGTTCCCTCTCCTATCCTGTCTCTAGTCTACCGTTATCTCACCTATCCTGTCTCTAGTCTACCGTTCCCTCACCTATCCTGTCTCTAGTCTACCGTTCTCTCACCTATCCTGTCTCTAGTCTACCGTTCTCTCACCTATCCTGTCTCTAGTCTACCGTTCCCTCATATATCCTGTCTCTAGTCTACCGTTCCCTCACCTATCCTGTCTCTAGTCTACCGTTCCCTCATCTATCCTGTCTCTTGTCTACCGTTCCCTCATCTATCCTGCCTCTCGTCTACTGTCCCCCTCACCTGTACTGCCTCTCGACTACGCTACCCTCACTAGTAATGACTCTCTCGTCTACTACCTCTTCACTTGTACTGTCCATTGCCCCCCTCTCCAGTATTTCCGCATGTCCATTGTCCCCTTACCTGTCCTGCCACCTGTTTCTTAACAAGTCGTGAGGAGGGTCCAAGACCTGTTCTATCTTTTGTCACTTGTTCCTTTATCCGTATTGCTTCTCATCTATTTCATCTGTACTGCTTCTTTTCTGGGGTTACATTAATGTAACTGGACACTTTAACTACCTGTCATCCATGTCACTATCACTTGGACAACTTCACCCGTCTCCGTGACACCATCCCGTCCACCCTCCGTGACACCATCCCGTCTACCCTCCGTGTCACCATCCAGTCCACTCTCCCCCCATCCCCCGTGTCACCATTCCGTCCACCCCCGTGACACCATCCCACCCACCAGTGACACAGTCTAACTAGTGACAGCTCTAATCACTGAGTAAACAACGTTCTTGCATCTGTTAATTACCAGCTATTGTTTTAGTGTTCATAATAAATATCTAAATATAGTTCCACAATAGCCAGCCAGGTGGAGGCTAATAATGTTTTTAAATAAGTTGTTAGGACTATGATCAAATCAATAATCATTCTAAAGCTTATGAATAAAATCTTTTAAAAACTTTTGTTAGCATCGACTTGAAATTGGAATTATAGATCTCAAAGGACATTTCCTTATTCATATAAATTATATACTTGTTTCAAGCTAAGTAATTGTAATTTCAAGTCAGTATTATTAATCATGTCATTTTTTTATATTTTTTTTAATATTGATTGATAAAGCTAATTTAAACATTTTAAAATAATAATTATATTAATTAAATAATTCGGGACTTAACAAAACATCAACTTGTTGCATAAATTGACACCAGCAACACTGTGGTAGGCTACACAACGTCAACACTGTGGTAGACTACACAACGTCAACACTGTGGTAGACTACACAACGTCAACACTGTGGTAGACTACACAACGTCAACACTGTGGTAGACTACACAACGTCAACACTGTGGTAGGCTACACAACGTCAACACTGTGGTAGACTACACAACGTCAACACTGTGGTAGGCTACACAACGTCAACACTGTGGTAGGGTCAACACTGTGGTAGGATACACAACGTCAACACTGTGGTAGGCTACACAACGTCAACACTGTGGTAGACTACACAACGTCAACACTGTGGTAGGCTACACGTCAACACTGTGGTAGGCTACACAACGTCAACACTGTGGTAGGCTACACAACGTCAACACTGCGGTAGGCTACACAACGTCAACACTGTGGTAGGCTACACATCGTCAACACTGTGGTAGGCTACACAACGTCAACACTGTGGTAGACTACACAACGTCAACACTGTGGTAGGCTACACAACGTCAACACTGTGGTAGACTACACAACGTCAACACTGCGGTAGGCTACACAACGTCAACACTGCGGTAGGCTACACAACTGTGGTAGACTACACGTCAACACTGTGGTAGGCTACACAACGTCAACACTGTGGTAGACTACACAATGTCAACACTGTGGTAGGCTACACAACGTCAACAACACTGTGGTAGGCTACACAACTCTGGTAGACTACACGTCAACACTGTGGAAGGCTACAGTGGCCTATCAGCCTCAGGTTGGAACTTAGGGGCACTATAAATGCCTACTGATCCACCAGCAATACATTTTAATCTGGCGAAACCTTAGCCCAAAACTACAATAAACTATCTTATGTTTATACACCGAGAAGCCGGCTTGCACCTCCCAGTGTATGTTTCACATGTCTGTGATAGACTACACGAAGCTAATACTGTACATACACGTTCTAATAACTCGTGAACTTGATATATATGTAGACGAACAAAGCTCTTGAGCTCAGCACAACACGTTTTATATATTTCGCTGTTGGATCCTACACAGGAAGAAGAAGATTGCTGTTTTAATTCAACTCTCCTTGCTAGTGTGAAAGAAATCAATATGGACTAAAAGAGGTATATAAACTGTAGCATGTGTGTGGTTAAGAGTGGTGGGCAGACGCAAACAATCAAGAGGATGCTGTTGTTTACCGGTGGCCGTCAAAGACTCATGTCTCATATCCGCAAACAACACCTGCACTTGCAGACGGCGGGGGGGGGGATGTTCTCTTATCATACACTTATCATACACTATTTTTGTTACAGCTAACTTGTGAAGCTACATCTCTACTTGCATAACTGAATAGCTGCTCCTGGCAATAGCAAATTACCTTCAAAGGAATGATGACCTCGAGGCTAATTCATTGAGAAAAATATTTATATGATCTGAAAATTATTGCAATTAACGCATACAGTATTGAATTTTTTGCGTATAACACTAAAGCAATAATTTAAAATTTTGTAATGATAAACAAAATTAAGCATTATAATGCTGGATACAATTAATTATTATAATACTGGATAGATTAAACTATTATAATATTAGACAGTTATTTTATAATACTGGATAGTATAATGATACGCAAGAAATGTATCTGTAATTAACCTTCAAAAGCTTTACAGTACTTTGATAATAAAAACGTCAATGGACTATAATAATCAAAAGCTTATATAACTTTTCGTTGAATTAGAAACTTTAGTAAGGACTTCTACACAAATTTATGGAACGGGGGTTTTGATTGCAAAATTACGACACCAGCACTTGTAGCGTCAGGTCACCTACAACACCAGCACTTGTAGCGTCAGGTCACCTACAACACCAGCACTTGTAGCGTCAGGTCACCTACAACACCAGCACTTGTAGCGTCACGCCACCTACAACACCAGCACTTGTAGCGTCACGTCACCTACAACACCAGCACTTGTAGCGTCACGTGCACTTGTAGCGTCAGGTCACCTACAACACCAGCACTTGTAGCGTCAGGTCACCTACAACACCAGCACTTGTAGCGTCAGGTCACCTACAACACCAGCACTTGTAGCGTCAGGTCACCTACAACACCAGCACTTGTAGCGTCAGGTCACCTACAACACCAGCACTTGTAGCGTCACGCCACCTACAACACCAGCACTTGTAGCGTCAGGGTACCTACAACACCAGCACTTGTAGCGTCACGTCACCTACAACACCAGCACTTGTAGCGTCAGGGTACCTACAACACCAGCACTTGTAGCGTCACGTCACTTACAACACCAGCACTTGTAGCGTCAGGTCACCTACAACACCAACACTTGTAGCGTCACGCCACCTACAACACCAGCACTTGTAGCGTCAGGTCACCTACAACACCAGCACTTGTAGCGTCACGCCACCTACAACACCAGCACTTGTAGCGTCAGGGTACCTACAACACCAGCACTTGTAGCGTCAGGTCACCTACAACACCAGCACTTGTAGCGTCAGGTACCTACAACACCAGCACTTGTAGCGTCACGTCACCTACAACACCAGCACTTGTAGCGTCAGGTACCTACAACACCAGCACTTGTAGCGTCAGGTCACCTACAACACCAGCACTTGTAGCGTCAGGGTACCTACAACACCAGCACTTGTAGCGTCAGGTACCTACAACACCAGCACTTGTAGCGTCAGGTCACCTACAACACCAGCACTTGTAGCGTCAGGTCACCTACAACACCAACACTTGTAGCGTCACGCCACCTACAACACCAGCACTTGTAGCGTCAGGTCACCTACAACACCAGCACTTGTAGCGTCACGTCACCTACAACACCAGCACTTGTAGCGTCACGCCACCTACAACACCAGCACTTGTAGCGTCACGCCACCTACAACACCAGCACTTGTAGCGTCACGTCACCTACAACACCAGCACTTGTAGCGTCAGGTCACCTACAACACCAGCACTTGTAGCGTCACGCCACCTACAACACCAGCACTTGTAGCGTCACGCCACCTACAACACCAGCACTTGTAGCGTCAGGTCACCTACAACACCAGCACTTGTAGCGTCACGTCACCTACAACACCAGCACTTGTAGCGTCACGTCACCTACGACACCAGCACTTGTTGCGTTATGTCACATGTCACCAACACTTGTAGAGTCAAGTCACCTGTCACCAATACTTATAGCGTCATGTCACCAACTCTAATTTCCAGCTAAGAAAATCCAAACAGCGTGCTCTAAAATAATTCCAATATACAAAAACAGATAGTTTATCAAGTTTAGATTAATATAGAAAGCAAATCACTTTAATATATGTAAGAGTTGATATTAATAATATGAAAGATGCATGAGGCTTGAACCACAAACATGATTGTGAGTGTTTCCCCCGTGTGTTTGTAAACAAATGTAGCAATGAGTATATATTTTTCTTTATGATTAATTGGTATTACTGAACCAAACTTTGCCTGGCACCATATTGACGAGTAGTGCAAAGATTGTTGCTTTTGGTGGAGTGTGATGCCGGGAGCGCCATCACAGCCGCCAGCGCCCTCGGGGTGCCTCACCCCCTTCCAGACCGCCAGAAGTCACATGATAACGTCCACCATACTAGATAATCGGACCAGATTATGTCTTCTCACATAATCTGTGAGAAGACGCACACACGATGGAGGCGTGAAGGAGGCGAGGCACCCAAGGGCGGCGGTGAGGCTTTGTCCTCATGATTAAAAGACGTCAGTGACCGAGCCTCCCCTCTCTCCCAGCTGTGAGGTGTCACAACCTCCTTGGGCAACCTTGCCCCACTTTCACGCAGCCCATCACCCCTCCTGACCGAGGTAAGGCCCGGGCCCAAGTCCAGCTGCATTTTACCTGAGGCAGCCCAAGCAGCGGCCGGGCCCAGACTGCTTGCCTGCAACCACCCTCATGTTACCCGTCACATATACTCGCCCACCTGGCTATACCGCACATATCTGGCTTATATCCTTCAGCTTATACAACCAGCGATTGTGGTCAATAGTTACCTTTAACCCGCTCACCCTCAAATCTTCGCTGCAAGCCAGACTCCTGTCACGGAATTACAAATAACAGCAAAGAATGGCGCCCATGATTCCATCCTATATTTAATGTCACTCACAGTATATTAATTACAGCCAGCACAACCAAGATGCTCTTCGAGGAGATAGTTAAATGAAACATGGCTTTTGCATCCACGTCGTTACCAGCCAAAGTTCTGCTTCCTCCATCCCTCCAATACGTAACAAAAATAAACAGGAGGTGACTTAATAGCTTATGTTAGCCAGTAACAAGGCATGAAATCTAGTATAACATATAAATGCTTGTCTGTTGATGTTATGGTCGAGTACTTGGTTACTGTGTTAAAAGCCAGTTAAACCCTGCATGCACAGCCCATCCTCCATTAATGAGAAGTACTTACAGCAACTATTTGGTCAAACGTATAAAAATGAACTATTGGACCCAAAACATCTAGTTTTGTATTACTCAATTAGCCCAAATGGCATAATAATAATAAAATGGAAAAGTAATTGAAGAACCTCACATGTTCAAGTAATCTTAGGCCTAATATAGTACATATATATATGCTATACTAGGCCTAGGAATGTTCAAGTTTGATTTTTGGCTTTAGTTTTTCGTTCCCTCTATAAACTTTATTGTACAAAACGTACAAATTATTACCTGCAACTTTTGTATGTTGGACCAAATATCACGTATATGTGTTGTCACTGGACGAGGAGCGACTGGTCCTGTAACCCTCACGAACGCATCACCTACTAAACAAAAGGCGTTCGTTACAGTGTGGTGCGACAGCTGAAATGATTTCGTATTACATTCAAACGAAATGAAGAATGAGAAGTTAAGAGACGTGACATCACCCACAAATGAATGCTAAGCATCACACTAACCGACTGAAGCATGACCATGTTTACACACCAACATTCACTCTCCACCTGCCTGGCAACACACCACCTCTATTACCACTCACATCAGTAACATATATATATATATATATATGTCGTACCTAGTAGCCAGAACTCACTTCTATGCCTACTATATTAATATATTTTATTTTATTCTTATGAAATGATAAAGCTATTACATTACGAATATAAATATTTATAGTTAAAATAACGTAGATATATGACCAAACCTAACCAACCCTACCTAACCTAACCTAACCTATCTTATAGGTTAGGTTAGGTTAGGTAGCCGAAAATGTTATATAGGTAGGTAGGTTAGGTAGACGAAAAACAATATTCATGAAAACTTGGCTTATTAGGCAAATCGGGCCTTGATAGTAGGCATAGAAGTAGTTCTGGCTACTAGGTACGACATATATATATATATATATATATATATATATATATATATATATATATATATATATATATATATATATATAATAATAATAACAATTTGTATATTACGCTACTATACTACTCGGCTTCTGATATGCCATTGAAAAGTTGTTTGTACTTGTGACTAGTTGCCCCAGAACCTCATATATGGACCATGACACACTTCTTTCTACCTAAAGATGATCTGAGATGTGAACATTTTAAGCTATAATAATCGGTTTCATTACTTAAATCCATTCTAGCACTTTGGTTCTCTTACAGAGGTTCTGGAGGTCCTAGACCATAGAACAGCTTGTGTTGCACATTCTGTGGAACAGAGCTAAACGGCTATTATACATTATCATACATGTAGGAGTTTTTAGATACACTGAGGCTATTTTCACTGATGCCAAGGAATCCTCTGTAACTTAAAATGAGAAATTCTCGTTATATTATGTGATGAGTTGATGTATCATTACCAAGCATGCCAGTCAGTTTCTCTGCTCAGCCCCACTGACTAGGGTATGTTTAGCCAGAGACGAGGTTTGGCACTATTACCCGCACTCCTTCACATCATTATGGGTGCGCTCTTTGTGTCTACATCGCAAGTTTCTAAATGTCCCATGCACGCATCTCTTATTTAAAAGTTACTGCACATTTATTAAGCTTTAGAAAATCTGAAATTTCCTTTTTCAGATATAAAGCAGAATATGGGTTTGCTTTATGAACAGGATAAATCAATACTAATTTATTCGTAACACTTAAATGATGTCAAGACAGGTCTCAGTGTGGCAAAAATATAAAAAGCTTTCTTGCAGATCTCAATTGGCAATAATATAACAAAGGGAAAATCTATACTATACCCGACAAGTTATAAAGTATCAAAGATCCTATTACACAAGCTTTTTTTTTAATTAATAAGCGTAATATGAACTTTCAATGCTTCATTTAAATAGTTAATACAAATTGCTCAAATTGTGTTAAGCTCCATCCATGAATTGCTTTAATATAATATTTTCAATACCATTTTCCAACATGATTTTTAAAGCTGTCATATGTACTGATCACAATGAAGCATGCTTTTTTCTGTTTAACACCTTGCAGGAGACATTCCCATCATTCATGAAGACGAGGCCAGTAAGTACCTGCCGGCTCCGCTGCACCCTACCTCGCCTCCATGCTCTTCATCTCTGGGGGCCTAGTTCTGGTTCATTATAATGCCTAGCATAGCCAGAGGACGCGCGCGCGCGTGCGTGTGTGTGTGTGTGTGTGTGTGTGTGTGTGTGTGTGTGTGTGTGTGTGTGTGTGTGTGTGTGTGTGTGTGTGTGTGTGTTGTAGTTGTGGAGGTGTGGTTGTGATGTTCTAGTAGCACTTGTGAAGGTGTTGGGTAGTCTTGTAGTGGCAGTTGAGAAAGAGTGGGACAGTCTTGTAGGTGTGAAGTAGTCCTATGGCAGTTGTGAAGGTGTGGGGTGGTCTTGTAGTGGAAGTTGTGATGATTGATTGATTGATTAATGAAGATTAAGCCACCCAAGAGGTGGCACGGATATGAATAGTCCGTAAGTGGTAGATTTTTTGGAGTGAATGTGATGTCGGTTGTGAATGTGTGGGGCAGTCTTGTAGTGGCAGTTGTAAAGGAGTGGGGTCTTGTAGTGGCAGTTGTAAAGGCGTGGGGTGGTCTTGTAGGTGTGGAGTAGTCTCGTAGTAGCAGATGTGAAGGTGTGGGGGGGTCTTGAAGTAGTAAATGTTAAGTTAAAATGTTTTAATTTGTTATGAGCCAATTAATCGTGACTACCTGTTATGTAAGTAATGTATTTGGTACATTATTTTTTTTTGCAATTGTCATGAATTATTAGTGCTACTGATTTTTTTAAAGTATCTAAGTACTATATATTGCTGTAAACCATATCATTTTTATATAAGAATTTTAAATGTATTAGTAAATAGGTAACAGAAAAGAACTTATCCCTCAAAATCCAAACTTTTGCTTATACAGCAATCTGTTGTTAATATTTTATGATAATATATGAAATATACTAATCTAAAAAGACAAATATTTATATATTATGAGGCTACTTTGCTTGTTAAACATGTATTATGTACTAAAATCAAACATTTTTAATTAGCAGTACGCAAATTATGATGTACTGTTGTGTAAGCATTGCTGCCCCCTCAAGCTGGTATAACCTAAACTTGCTTCTTGTTTATAAACCAAATATTACTTATGACAGTAAGCAACGAAGCATCCACGTGAAGCATCATTACTAACATTTGCTTCTTATGCAATTATGCATCCCAATTTTAATGTAAACATCATTCACCTTGGTGGCAGTTTGACTCAGTGGTCTTATGAAGAGACTTAGGGTAAAGTAGCCTCATATAAAGATTATGGGGTAAGTAGCCTCATCATCAAAGAAACTGTGGGTTAAGTAGCTTCAAGAAGAATCCATGAGTAATGGCTTCAAGAACAGACTAAGGGTAAGGTGGCCTCATGAACAGACTATGGGTTAAGTAGCCTCATGAAGAGATAGCCCCCCCTTTAAAAGGAAACTGTGAGGCATGATAAAAGGTAACTGTTGCTTTCTGGTCCAATCAGGTAATAAGCTGGTCAAGACCCTAGCGGAGCTCATCGAGACCATCAAAGAGCTGCAGATTGAGATCCAGACGCAGGTTGGTACTTCACTATATATATCCTTTTTTACAGTGGACAAATGTGCATGTATGTATACCACGGAGGAAAATTGAAACAGGAATTTCCTTAAGTACTTTCGTATATTAATACATCTTCAGAAGGAGTGAATAATATACCGCAACCATTGGCTAATGGTGTGCTTCGATATTTGTATACAGGATAAAACGATTATCAGTTCCGTGCCATCATACCCTGTATGTTACGTCATGCTTCTCTCTCTATATAAATGATCAATCGTGTGTGGTGTGTTTATGTGTATCTGTCCTAGGTTGAAGGCCAGATAGCTTTGGGCTATTCTCAGCCAACTTTTCTGTGAATCACACATTGGTGATACTTGACTTGTCATAGGTAGGTAGGGGTCGGCCCCTAGTGCCTTCAATAGGATTTTGTCTCGCAGTAAATTCGTATTTAGTCTGCAAGGACGGTTTGGCTTTCCAGACTGTTTTGAAACGTGTTGAGGTGTTACACACACACACACACACACACGCTAACTCCAACGGTGTTGCAATGCTGCATGAAGATAACAATACTACAAATACCTGTGTGTGTGCTTGATGAGCACATATACTGCATGTTCTGAGACATACAAAGAGGAGACGCGGGTAGAGATGTGGGAGTGGGGAGGGTAGAGATAAAGAGGGTGTAAGAGAGAGAGAGAACCTTGTATAGGGAGAAATAGCAGTGCATTATGTAAGAGAGAGACCCTTGTGTAGGGAGAAATAGCAGTGCTATTGAGAGAAGACCCTTGTGTAGGGAGAAATAGCAGTGCTATTGAGAGAGACCCTTGTGTAGGGAGAAATAGCAGTGTTAAATGTTGAAAAACAGTCTGGAACTCTTACCCCTTTCAGATGCACAGAGCATCATCTCAACAGGAAAATGTAATCTCCTAAAAAAATATGTAAACAAAAGGGATAAAATGGTTAAGAAAAAGCACATTCAATGCAAGAAAATATAGAGAAACAACAGTGTTATATGTAGAAAAACAGCCTGGAACAGTATAAGACATATAAATGAAGTATTAGGAAATGTGTATGACATGTATAGGGAAGGAACATTATTGGAACCAGGCAGGCAGGGACATGTGCAAGCCCCTATCAGTCACTTTGGAGAGGGAGACAGTAAGAACCAGACCAATGTTGTGGATGGTCTCCAACAAATACGATAAGTGCAGTATTATAGATGTTTATAGCGGTGCTTCCCCTTTTCTTTATGAGTTAGAGATAGGAATTTGTGGAAATAAGGATTTTTGGAACCCTGTGTGTAGGGAGAGTGGTGTGTTGTTAATTCAGGTGTGTGTGCTCAGCTGTGTGTCACATGGGGTTATCCACATTTATTTTGTATATTCATTTGTAAACTCAGGCCCTTTGTAGCGACCTATGAGTGGAATAGAGTAATGGCCTTAAGTCCCAGGTTGTAGAGGGAGAAGGAACCTCCCCCCCCCTTTTTCGTCTGTATCAATCCTATGGTGGATCCAAGTAAACCCCCCCCCCCTTCCCCTGTTCTAAGAAGTGTGAGGAAATCTGATATTTGTTAAATAAAATACTTTTTGTAAAATTGTACCCAAGGTGTATTTCTTGTCCCATGTAGTTAGAACTGGTGACTATTACTATATAGACCCCTGCACTTTCATTGTTTATAAGAAAGTAAGAGCGGGTGTTGTTAGCGATACTTTAGGGTACAGCTATCAATCTCGTACCTTACAAGGGAGGTAGATAGTAGAAAACAGGGGAAGGAGGTTAAGATTTGGTAAGAATGAAGGAGAGACAGACCCGGCGCCGTTGGGTACTCATCCACTACTGTTTGCAAAAAGCGCAGTTCCCCATAGGCCTGTATAAAAAAAACGCAATTCCACATGGGCTTGTATCATTATAGCTCACTTCCTAATGAACCTATACAAAATATTCTAAATCTAATCTGTTTAAGGTTAACGTTTATGATTCAAAATATTCTGGAATGAGAGAACTCGTCCTTACCAAACGGTGGAGAACATTAACATGTGTGTATGTTTGTTGAGTATTTTGAGACTAGAATGTACTGTATCTAATATTGAATATGTTAATTAATGCTGGTATATTATATTTTATAAATATATATTATTGATTCTCAATTAACTTTCAAAACATACCACGTTACCTAGTCATTCTTTTTGTGACATGTCTTCTGTTTCACAAGACCATCATAGGACTGTGAATTAATCACTAGGAAAATTGTCTTTATATAATTAAAAATATGTTTTAATTCGTGCGAGGTATGGTATGACTAACCAGAAAGTGTTTTTGGCCGGCAGCGTGAGGAGACAGCTCTGCTACGCGACGCCCTACTCAACTGCGAGGCCTGCAAACCTAAACCTGGTAGGGGCAGCCTATCTGGCCACTAAACTCTCTCTCTCTCCCCCACCCACAACCCCTTTTCCTCACAGCTCTATCAAAAATGCTTAAAACTCTTAGCTTGAGAACTTCCAGCAGCTTAAAGTGAATATCTGTCTCAAATTGAAATAATTACGCTGTCAACAAGTAAGTATAACGCATCGACAAACAGTGTGGTCTATGTTTCGTAAGGCTGATGATTAGTTATAAATAACTGTTGACAGTTACCAGGCAGCGACGCTGAGGCAAACTACCCACCTTTGTTCAAACGTTATGCCCTCACTTATAGCATTTAGGAATGTTTTTACACACTTGTGATTCTAGGAATAGTACTTGTTTATTAGGTTGTAATAACTCCTTGTCTCAATATTCCGGGGCTTCCGGACATGGACGATTAACTTGTTTAATCCACACAATATCCCCGTCATACTTCTCAGGCGGGTAAACGATGCTTTTCTTGAATATTGCTATTTAACTGCTTTTTGAAGACGCAACAATAGACCTACTCATAACCCAGGGAGGCTTTTAAATGTCACTACAGCCTTGGTTATTGATGGGCGATGCATTTAAAGTTAACTTCCAGGTACGGTCTAGCTATGCAGGGGTCATGTATCCAGTGCTATACAAGGTTATGCTCTGTAATGTCTTAACCAGATAGCTTATTAATCTAGAAATGCTATGTAGGATGGTTTGAACTGAGTAAATCTGATGAATCTAAATTCTAGTTTTTGTTCAACATCCTCATAGCATACTGTTAAAACCTCTGAAAACCATGTTTATTTGGCCTGGTTAAGTTTGGTGGGATGTGAATGTGAGCGATGCCCAGGAGTGGAGGTACCTCTATGGTAATCCTGCCGTCCATCATAGTAACCCTGCCGCACCTACACCTTACCACATTCCTAACATCGCTCCCTACAACGTCCTCCAACATACCCCCTACAACGCTCGCAACAGCCACCCCTGGAGCACCTTCGTCAGCCGTCCGAGAGTCGGGTACTGGGACAAGTACTGGGCCCTCGACCGCAGTGAGCACACCTTTAACCATTAATACTTTCTCAAGGCATACAGCACCAGTGAGTCAGTGACTGTAGCTGTACATAGAGCGCAGGAGGAAGGAAGGAAGAAGGTTAAGGTCTTTCCTGCTTACTTTGTCTCAGTCCTGAAGTAACACTTAAGACAGAAACTTATCAAAGCATCATTCCTACCAATCCACACTTGTACCTCTGGGAACTCGTAGACTTTAAAATAAGTTCATTACATTATTTGGATTATAAATTCATCTGGTGATAATATTCTAAAGAAATTGGCTTCAAAATATATTGATTTGATTAAATATGAGTTTCTCAGAAGTACGACTTCTGGAAACCTGCTAAACTGTTCTTACTGCTGGCATGTGGGGTATTACATTTCCTGCTGTTTAATGATATTGTGTATTGTATGGGCCTGGTGTATAATACAAATTTTTTTTTTATATGAGTGGTTCGCCAAATTAGAAATATACATTAATACAGCTTAATACAAGTTATATACGAGCCGCAAGGAACGCTGTGGTGACTAATTTACATTCACTCTGTATATAGTTAGACATTTAATATATCAATGTCGACAAAAGTTAAGAATAGCCTTAGTGATATGAGAAAATAGTCTTAACGGCAAATTGCATTTTGACAAAACAATATGAATTTAGGTATTATTTCAGAGGGAGAGTTAATTAATTCATTTCCTTCCCAAGTGAAGAAAATCATAAAATAATGCGAATTTAGGAATTATTTCAAAGAGAGTGTTAATTCATTAATTTCATTCCCGAGTGAAGAAAATCATACGAAATACTGTATACAAAAAAAAAGTTTCGTGTTCAAAATCATACAAGTGTTCTCGTAATATTCAATGACTATTTAGATTATATATCTCGTTATATTCAATGACCATTTAGATTATATATCTTTCTCGTTATATTCAATGACCATTTAGATTATATATCTATCTATATCAATAACAAAGAATGTCTATCCTGACTCTCCGAGGTTGTAGGCCAGACATTGGGACCAGCCTCACTCAACTTTTCAATACGATACATGCGGGATGTGGAAGTGTCATAGGCTATAGTCGATGTTGGGGCCCCATTCCCACACTAAGAAATTTCGTCATCAATAGACCCCGCCTTCGATTTTTATGACGTCATATCTGAAATGGAGGGCATGTTGTCTATCGAGTTATTTGGCAGTTTCAGTTCATTATATTAAATTTTCTGAGAGACAATGACAGAGGGAGGGAGAGTGGGGAAATGATGAAGGAATGAGAGAGGGGAAAAGAAGAAAGGAGAGGGGAGGAGAAGAAAGGAGAGGGGGAGGAGAAGGAAGGAGAGAGGAAGGGAAAGATGCAGAGGGGGGAGAGGGAAAGGGAGGAATGTTGGCAGAGTCTGAAGAGAGAGAGGGAAGGGGAGTTTTCAATGGAAATCGCCAAGTCATTACGACTATATAGCACTTGGAAGGGGTTAGGATAAGGATTTGGTATGAGACGGGGGAAAGGAATGGTGCCCAACTACTTGGACGGTCGGGGATTGAACGCCGACCTGCATGAAGCGAGACCGTCGCGAGAGAGAGAGAGAGAGAGAGAGAGAGAGAGAGAGAGAGAGAGAGAGAGAGAGAGAGAGAGAGAGAGAGAGAGAGAGAGAGAGAGAGAGAGAGAGAGAGAGAGAGAGAGAGAGAGAGAGAGAGAGAGAGAGAGAGAGAGAGAGAGAGAGAGAGAGAGAGAGAGACAGAGACAGACAGAGAGAGAGCGCGCCAGGCATAGCAGGATGGTGTATACACTAGATGAGATAGCCATTAGGGCCAGAGTCATGCTCCACCTCTCCCATCCCTGCCCTCCCAATCTCCTTCCTTCCTTCTCCACGGCTCTTCCCTCCTCCTCCTCCCCATCGCCACCTCTCACTCTTTCTCCACCCTCTACCTTTTAATCCCCCCCCCCCTCCTCCTCTCTCTTCCCCTCTCGTTTTCCCTATCTTTCTCTTTCAGAAAATGTAATTCCGTAACCCGAATGAATTAGCATAAATTTGTTTTTGAGTAAACAATAAACATGTTTGGGCAAACGGCGGAGGTAAGCCTAACTCATCTACCTTAAACATTCCCTCAATTTCCATTTTATTACTTTGAACATTCTATTATATGTCGATAATAAAATAAACATTACACTGACAGAAGATGGAGTTGCAATATGTTTCGCCTTGTCAAGAAAGCAATTGCAGCTAGCACTTAAAAGTAGAGGGTAGAGTGTGTAGAGTGAAGTGCAGTAAAAAGAGTGTAGAGCAGTGTAAAGAATTTAGAGCAGTGTAAATTGTTGAGCAGTGTAAAGAGTGTAGAGTAGTGTAAAGAGTGTAGAGTAGTGTAAAGTGTAGAGCAGTGTAAAGAGTGTAGAGTAGTGTAAAGAATGTAGAGTAGTGTAAAGAGTGTAGAGAAGTGTAAAGAATGTAGAGCAGTGTAAAGAATGTAGAGCAGTTTACAGAATATAGAACAGTGTAAAGAATGTAGAGTAGTGTAAAGAATGTAGAGAAGTGTAAAGAATGTAGAGCAGTGTAAAGAATGTAGAGCAGTTTACAGAATATAGAACAGTGTAAAGAGTGTAGAGTAGTATAAAGAGTGTAGAGCAGTATAAAGAGTGTAGTGTAAAGAGCGTAGAGCAGTGTAAAGAGTGTAGTGTAAAGACTGTAGAGTAGTGTAAAGACTGTAGAGCAGTATAAAGAGTGTAGAGCTGTGTACAGAGTGTAGAGCTGTGTACAGAGTATAGAGCAGTGTAAGGAGTGTAGCGTAAAGAGTGTAGAGTAGTGTAAAGAGTGTAGAGTAGTGTAAAGAGTGTAGAGCTGTGTACAGAGTTTAGAGCAGTGTAGAGTAGTGTAAAGAGTGTAGTGTAACGACTGTAGAGCAGTGTAAATAAGAGTGTAGAGCAGTGTAAAGAGTGTAGTGTGAGGAGTGTAGAGCCGTGTACAAAGTATAGAACATTGTAGAGTAGTGTAAAGAGTGTAGTGTAAATAGTATAGAGGACACACTGAATGCAGGTTGGAACGACAATATACCCTGGGACGCAGTACCCGCGAAAATATATCCTATAACTTACGCTCCAATTATTTTTTTTATCTTTAATAAAATACAATATATATCATATATACATAAATTTTACAAAGCAATACTACATTACATATAATAATAGTAGTATAATTCTCAGTAAACAAGTGTTTCATTAACACAGAACATGAACTTTAAACCCCTAAATGTTATACTTATTCGTGAGTGGGAAGTTGGGCCTGCGACCCACAGCCTCTCTCGCTAGACTTGTTTGTGACGTGTATAGCTATAGATTATATAACCGTTCTAACCTCACTAGGAACAAAATTCTGTCAGCTCTCAAGTTGTTTAGGATGTTTTTATGATCTTGAGAAAGTAAAGTAAAATTTATCGAGAGGTACGCGCTGAAAATCCTCCCGAATGCGTCTAAGCTTCTTGCTTGAGATATTAGAAAACAAAATATAAAGTGTTACTTTCAGACCTGCGTATTCATACAATCTAGTCTTTTTAGTATAGTATATGTATTTTTTAAATGTTAAACGTTGTCTTGTTATACATACTACAATGTTAAACTATATTTTGGAAGTTAAACGAAAGGCAAAATGATGTCTTAGTATTACGTATAAGGAGCGTTAAAAGGTTCATATGTCTAGGAAGTAAGGGTGTAAAACTAGTTGGGTTATATTAAGGTATGTGTAGTAGGATATAATGTATGGTAATTCTGATTGATAACGCATGCTGATTATAGCGCTTGACAACAGGCCTAGATTTCCCCAACTAAATTCAACTACGCATGTATATTTAAAATATATTTATAATAATTTGTTTACATGAAATAATTTGACTTACATATAATATGACTTACATATTTATCATATCATGTGAGTAAATTTATATATATATATATATATATATATATATATATATATATATATATATATATATATATATATGTCAAAAATTAGTAATGGTTATCAGGGACGTCGAGACATCCTTGGTGACTGGTAGATAAAGCTTTAGACCTGAATGACGTGACATCATCCTCCTCCTGAGATGAGGTCATCTCCATGCCACAAAGGCCCAGGTGCTGCCTCATCTCATTGTGTATACTCTTAAACACATGCTTTATGTGTTTAAGACTATCTAATATCTACTACTTCCTCAGTACTTCTATTTAATAAACAAAAACACTAGTAATAGAAAACACACAGTATTTTGTTGATGATACACATGCTATACTCTGTATGTATATATATTTGTATAATCGTGTTAATTTCAGAAATATTGTTATATTTACTAAGAGTAAGCGGATGGTGGTAAGTAGAGGCGTCTGAATACCACTGCTGGCTGCATGGTTAGCTTTGCTTATCAAAAAGAAGTTACAATTACTTTATGATTTTCCTCGGTAGACTAGGCTTGTTATTATACATCCTAGGCCTATATGTGACAAATGTCGCCACTACGCAGCCTGCACCCGTAGAACCCTCATGTGTTCAATATTCTACCCTCATGTGTTCAACTGTCTACTCTCAAGTGTTCAACCGTCTACCCTCATGTGTTCAAATGTCTACTCTCATTTATTCAACCGTCTACTCTCATTTGTTCAACTGTCTACCCTCATGTGTTCAACTGTCTACCCCTCATGTGTTCAACTGTCTACCCCTCATCTGTTCAACAGTCTACACTCAACTGTTCAACGATGTACCCTCATGTGTTCAATAGTCTACCCTCATGCATTCAGCTGTCTGCCTTAATGTGTTCAACTATCTACCCTCATGTATTCAACCTTCTATCCTCATGTGTTCAACGGTCTACCATAATGTGTTAAACTATCTGCCTTCATGTATTCTTCTACTCTCATGTGTTCAACTATCTCCCCTCATGTGTTCAACTGTCTACCCCATGTGTTCAACTATCTACCCTCATGTATTCAACTGTCTACCCTATGTGTTCAACTATCGCCCCTCATGTGTTCAACTGTCTACCCCATGTGTTCAACTATCTACCCTCATGTGTTCAAATACCTCCCCCTCATGTATTTCCTCAAGCCTATCATCACGAATTAAACTGTCCACCATCTTTAGGGCAAAACAAAACAGAAATATCAGTTAAGACTTTTATTGTATATTCAAATGAGTTCCCAAAATGGAATCCTTTACCAGATCTCGAACTAGAGTCAGTTGCCAAAATATTACACACGTCAAACTGTGTTTACCTCAAGTTAGGTCATATATTTGTGTAAATAAATACTGTGAACCCAATTATACTGCTTGAAATCAGTTATAATGCTTGCAATGTCTCATAGACATCTGAGTTCCCTTCAAACGTGTGGAGTACCTCTAAGGTGTGTGTTTATCCCATAGGTGTGGGGGTATCCCACAGGTGTAGGGGGTATCCGCAGGTGTGTTGGGTATGTAGTGCCCCTTGGTGGTGTATATCTTGAGTGCGTGTATTATGGACCATGAATATACTTAGCGGGTGTGTATACCCTGAAAATTTATAAAGTTTGCAGGTGTGTATACTTCACGGGTATATGTATATCTAGTCTGTAAACTCCACTGGTATATGTATATACTAGAGCGTGTGTATATTCCCTGCAGCTGTATATACTCCATGGGTATACTGGACTCAATAGAGATTACTGGCTACCCTGCGATGATTTCGGGGCTCAACGTCCCCGCGGCCCGGTCCTCGACCAGGTCTCCTGGATTCTATATTAGTCTATATTAGATTCCTCCTGGAATCTATATTCTATATTATTTTCCTGGGCTATATTATATTTGTATATAATAGTCGTTTTACATATTACATAACTGCGACTGATGTATACATTATGTCCTGTGATAAAATACATATATATATATATATATATATATATATATATATATATATATATATATATATATATATATATTAGGATTTTAGAAATGTCTACTAATCTATTACTGTGTTATGTACCACACTTAAAATACAAATTTAAATACAAAAAGGTATGAAACTCCAATCTTATATTTTACTACGCTTTTCAATAGATCTGCACTCTCTAGAAACAATAACAAGATTTCAAATATTCCCTCAAACATGTCATTGGGTATAGAATTACGATGACCTGGAAAGCTGGTCCAGACTATCTATTTTTTTTTTTTTTGAGGGTTTTGAAGCATGTTCTCTACAGACACACTAGGTTCTAATGAAGAATTGAAAGACACAATCAAATTATCAACATTTATCTTGACAAAATCCGGTTTGTTCGGGAGCTTTTAATAAAATTCGGGTATAACCAGATAAATGAAATTTTCCCCCTTACTGTGATGGGTGTTGGTAGCCTAGTTGTAGCATTATACGTACCCACACCGACAACACATTATCTATTGTGGTTTTCGTTTTGCCATAGTGCCATATTACTGGCCTGGGTGGTGAGTATGTGGCACTTTGGCGAAAAAGGGTGAAGGGTACGGTGGTGGTGGCAGTGTGTGGAGTGTAGTGTGTGTGTATGTGTGTGGTACTAACGGGCGTGGTGCGTGGTGCAGACAACGACCCCTGCTCGCCAAACCCCTGCTTCCCTGGCGTGGAGTGCACCAGGGGTCCAGAGGGAGCCCGCTGCGGACCCTGCCCAAGGAGCTTCCTGGGGGACGGACGCGACTGTAAGCCCGGAGTCACCTGCGCCGACCGTCCCTGTGCCCGAGGTGAGTACCCACATTCTGCCTTAGCTCTGCCAACTGGCTCTCTAGTAGCTTCACACTCAAGAGCTTCAATTAGATATTACACTGAGCTGAAATTAGGTGTTGGCCTTAATGTTTATCAACCTCGCGAGTTGTTATGACAACAACTAGTTTACCTCCATTTATAAGACTAGTATTTTCTTGAGCAATACTCAAAATTAAATTAAAAGAACATACGAAGGCTACAGTTTTTGACAGAAACGCTAAGCGTATAATAATTGTTTATATATATTAGTAATTTTCTGTCTAGGTGTCCGTCAGCAAACTTGCCCGTGTGTAAAAAACGTAACTACATCGCGTTTCAGACTGGTTCTTGTGCTCAATGAACACTAACCTGTGACTTATTATGCTATACCTATAAAGTCAAACTGGCTTGTGCTTTTTCTTCGTAATTACTTTCATTCTTAGATAGGCTATACACATATAATTAATATATGTAAACGACTCACTTAACATTAGAGGGCATGATACAGAGAGATAACCAACACAACTACAGTACTAGTTGTACAACAACATTAAGACTTTTACAAATAGAGTAACGTACAGGGTACAGAAAACCTGGGGCTAGATTCACAAAACAGTTACGCAAGTACTTACAAACCTGTACATCTTTTCTCAAAGATGATTCAGTCTATATTAAGTACACTAAGCGTTTTTGCTTTAGTATTTCAATCAATTAGGTATTTAAATATACAGTATATGAAAGTTCAAAACAAGAAAGATTATAGCTTTTATAACTCTGATAGTTGATAGACCCTTACACCTAATCCAACCGCTGCTGTTAATACTAGTTATATAATAATTATAGCAAATTACATATTATAATGTCTTCATCAAAACCAATTACAAATCATTTAACGAAGAAAACATGAATAAGATCCATTTAAAACATGCGTTCATGGCATGAACATAATAATATCATAATTTCATGTATCTACATTTTGTTATGGTCTTTAGGAAATTTAAGAACCCTAACTAACTAGGCCTCTCAGCCCATGGCTGTGATATATTGGCAGCTACCATAGTATTTATCTGTATGGAAAACCTTCACAGTATGATTAAGTGAAACTGACTGACTTTTGCAGGTGCATGTATTTATGTGCAATGATGAATACTGTATGCAAGTGTTGCATATTTTAAATATATATATATATATATATATATATATATATATATATATATATATATATATATATATATATATATATATATATATATATATATATATATATATATATATATATATATATATATATATATATATATATATATATATATATATATATATATATATATATATATATATATATGTCGTACCTAGTAGCCAGAACTCACTTGTCAGCCTACTATGCAAGGCCCGATTTGCCTAATAAGCCAAGTTTTCATGAATTAATTGTTTTTCGACTACCTAACCTACCTAACCTAACCTAACCTAACTTTTTTGGCTACTTAACCTAACCTAACCAATAAAGATAGGTTAGGTTAGGTTAGGTAGGGTTGGTTAGGTTCGGTCATATATCTACGTTAATTTTAACCTCAATAAAAAAAAATTGACCTCATACATAATGAAATAGGTAGCTTTATCATTTCATAAGAAAAAAATTAGAGAAAATATATTAATTCAGGAAAACTTGGCTTATTAGGCAAATCGGGCCTTGCATAGTAAGCTGAGAAGTGCATTCTGGCTACTAGGTACGACATATATATATATATATATATATATATATATATATATATATATATATATATATATATATATATATATATATATATATCAACATACTGTATGTCGTACCCAATAGCCTGAACGAACTACTTGGCCTAGTATGCAAGGCCTGGTTTTCCTAATAGGCAAAGTGATTTTCGCTATTTAAACAAAATATTCCAATTGGTTTATTTGAATTAATATTATTATATTATATTAAGATCATGAATTACTGACTTAATTCATTTTAAGTTTAAATGTTAAACTTAAAAGTTTATTTATATTTAAACTTAAAAGTTTAGTTTAAATTAGGTTATGATAGGTTAGGTAGGTTTGGTCGTATTTCTGTTAGTATTAACTCAAATTAAACAAAATTAATCATACATGATATAATGGAGAGCTTTATCATTTCATAAGAAAAAATGTGATAAATATATAACTTTAGGGAAACTCGGTTTATTAGGCAAACCGACCCTTGCATAATAGTCTCAGGAGTTCAACATATATATCCATCAGTACAACATTATATTATATATATATATATATATATATATATATATATATATATATATATATATATATATATATATATATATATATATATATATATATATATATATATATATATATATATATATATATATATATATATATATATATATAAAGAATTTACTTCAAATAATTGACCTAGTTATATATACACCTTAGAATTATAGATTATAAGTATAGTAAATGTCGGCCTTACTTAGCCTTGGAGTCATTGTATTACAGTTTTCTGTCTTTACGGCACCAACAAACAGTATAGATCAGACAAACTAACATAGGAAAAAAACGTTACTAATATGTAAGATCAAAACAAAAACAAAAGACATAACTTTCACCATAATTTGCCACTCGCAGTATTTATATCATATTCCGCTTTTTGCTTCCCTTGCCCGTTGCAGCCCACGTCATCATCGTAGAGAAGAAGCACACCAGTCCACACAACTTTACCAACCCACTCTTGTTTGAGCCCAGAATTGAATACCGCTACATACACCTCCCAACCCATTAAAGTATCCACAGTCGTTCACATCGAGACTTTATAGACTATTTTTTTCCCTTATTTTCTTCAGGGTGCTTGCGCCTTGTGAGGCTCTCGCGTGAACGTTTGCATAATGTCTTTATTAAATATTTTAAGTATATATTGTACGTGTATGTGTGTGTGTACCAATATTGTGGAACTTTCATATATAAAATAAAGATGGATAACAATGATCAAAATCAGAGAGGCTGTTTAAGAACACGATTATCCCTAGCCTCACTGGATATCATTGTACCTTCATCCCTCCTGTCACATTCAATATGTCAACAACAGAGACTGCAACCAGAACATACTAATACGTAAATATATGTACACACACACTCATGATATATATAAACAATCCGCTAGACCCGAGTAGAAGTGAACTGAGCGTCCTCTTGCGAGAGAGATCCTCAAAATCGCACATTTAATGAATGGAATGCGAGACTTTAGTTAATTGTTATTATGCACTTCTTACCCATCTTGTAAGCGGTAATGGGAGAGTTTACAAAGGCACATAATGGGTTGAGCACCTGCCTCACGACGGAGTGCACAGCGTGACGTTGAGCACCTGCCTCACGACGGAGTGCACATCGTGACGTTGAGCACCTGCCTCACGACGGAGTGCACATCGTGGCGTTGAGCACCTGCCTCACGACGGAGTGCACATCGTGACGTTGAGCACCTGCCTCACGACGGAGTGCACAGCGTGGCGTTGAGCACCTGCCTCACGACGGAGTGCACATCGCGGCGTTGAGCACCTGCCTCACGACGGAGTGCACAGCGTGACGTTGAGCACCTGCCTCACGACGGAGTGCACAGCGTGACGTTGAGCACCTGCCTCACGACGCAGAGGATGCCGGTCCACTCCCACGCTGGTCAAGTGGATTATGTCCTTCTTCTGATCGCCTGCAGTTGCTTATGCTTTTCAGTGTTATATCACACATTCTTTATTCTTTCATTTTATCGCGAGTCGTTTCACAAATCAGACAAGCTTTATCTTGTGCACGCGTTAATTATTTCCCATATACACTTATAAGGTGATAAATATTTACTATATTATTTTGACTTATGACAGCTTTATGCATTTTTATTTATAATGCTTGTCACCCCATGTTATTGTTTTCATTATTTGTAAATGTTTTTTTGCGAGGTTGGAGTTTAGAGAGTGGCCAAGCAGATACGTTGTAACACATTTCACTAAAACACCAACCCGGCCTCTTAGACTAATACATCTCTCATTTTGTACACTATGCCCCCCTCCCCCAACGTACAAATTATAAAGTACAGTAGCAGGAGAAGTAGCGGCTCAGAAAATCCATGTTTTCTACGAGTCTCTATGTTAGGGGGGTTGCTTGGGTTCGTGCGTTTATGATTAGGTTAGCATTTTTGTTGTGTACGTTGTGTACTCACCTAGTTGTGCTTGAGGGGGTTGAGCCTTGGCTCTTTGGTCCCACCTCGCGAGCAGCGTTGATTGTGGCCTTTCAGCCTCGACAAAATATTATTGACTTTGAGCCTGATTATAACAAATGATTGGCATTATATACCACTTAGGCTACCTGGTATTACATACCATTAGGCTACTCGCCATTACATACAAATACTGTAGGGTAATTGGTATTACATACCGCTAAGCTACTTGGCTCTAGATGGTACATAACTAAACCCATCTACTTTGAGGATAAAATATACGTAGGGACAACTGCGATGGAAAATTAGTGGGAATATTCTATTATGGAAATTTTTGAATCATGGAAAACTTGAGTCTGTTAAACCAAACAAATTTGCTGACAGATTTATGCCCCAAAATCAAGCGAGAATGGTTAGTGGCAACGCGTTAATTAATAGATTCATATAATTAACAGATTGCTTATTATATAAATCCAAAACTGTCATAGAAACCACACTTCGTAAAAAGAGTTGCGGGCAGGGCCTATCGTATCATATGTTGTCTTGTTAGTTGAGTAATGTACAATGTTTGTGAATATCACCTCAATTGTTTCCTTACTCCTTGCATGCTCAAGATCCAACCCGTTCTCGCACCTGCTTATAGTCAATATCTTGCTTATGAATAAGTGCATATGTGACATACTAATTTATTGTGAATATTTGAGTTTACCCTGAAAAGCTGAATAGAAAACCACAACTTAGCCTAACCTTCTTAGTATGTTAAGATATTACAATTATTACTGATCCTATACCTATATTGATATTACAGTTTTATAAAAATAATAAAGCAAAACTAAAATATTTATTTAAATTGCAAAGTAACTCAGGATATTGTGTAATTTTGTATAAAATCTCTATTGTTTAATAAAACTGAGAGAAAAAGTTAGTGCCTTGAAAAGAAATATGGCTTGGAGTATGTCACATATGTATTTATTTATAAGCGAAATAGTGACTATAAGCAATAAGTCATAAATGTGCTGTCTTGTGTGAGAGCAAGATCACATATAAAGCAGATAGCTTCACCATGCCTAAGTTTATAAAAATAAGAATCATAATGTTGTTATATGTATGTGCTTGTTGACTAGTGAGCATGGGGGTATGTTGATCAAAGAATCATAAATAAATGCAGATTAAGGATAAAGTTATTGCAGTCTGATCATTCTTATAATTGCTACAGCCGAATACCTTGCGGGATATGATCTTTATTATGCAAAACAAACTCTGTACGACAGTATCGTTCTTGTCACCTTCAGGCTTACACAGTATATTGTTATGTTCCTTCATTTAAAAGGACTATAGACTATTGGGATTTATTTATGCTTGAATTGCGGATGAACGAACGCTTCAAAGATTAAATTTTTTCCCCCCTTCCTGAACTTTTTATTTTCTTCCTTATTCGAGCTTCTTACTTTATCATAAATCTCTGAGCTCACACGGATAAATTATTGGCCAACGTTAGTCATCAAGCTTTTAAATTGGCAGTTTAAAGCTTGAGTATTTTAAAGCTTGTGGAGACTTTCCTTGAGTGTTGAACTTCGTAATATACTATCTCACGGGCATTCATGTGCTGTGAATCTTAAGAGTGCTGTCCAATATTACCTTATAAAATATTAAGTTCTTGTTCTTGTTCTTTCCTGTGTGACATCCTCGCAACAGTTGAGCCAAACACACACATTTCCCCACCGTGCTATGAGGTATTGCCCCAACTCCAACACTGCATGCCCTCTGTACACCTCTTAACTCATTCCCGCCACTACAGACTAAACACTCATCATACTGGACAGTCATAAAAACGCCTTCCAGTTCAAAAAACCCATCCCCAACACACTCTCCGGATCCCTCCTGTAGGCGTGCGCTGCTACGACATGCCCGACGGATATCGCTGCGGCCCGTGTCCTCCCGGCCAGACCGGTGATGGTCGCATCTGTAACCCCATCAGCGCCTGCGACCCCAACCCCTGCTTCCCGGGTGTTCAGTGCTCCAACACCAACACCGACCCCTACTTCCGCTGCGGCCCCTGTCTCCCTGGCTTCACCGGCGATGGCGTCTCCTGTGAAGATATCAACGAGGTAAGAGTGCAACTCAATATTTCATCATTATAGTGTCGAACCTTCATAGCAGTGGGTAACCCATTCGCCTGGAAAGCGTGAAGTCCGGATTTCAAGGCCTGGGAAGGGTCGGATGCTTAAACACCGTTCCACCCTGCCAATCGTAAAATCCTGGTTGTTCACCATTTCGGGCCAGAACCTCCCAGTGAATTCATCTGAGTTCCGAGTTGGTTGACTTTCGTCCTATTTTGGCCAAGTGGGTTAAGGCAGGTGTCTGGGAATCATCAGAACGCTGATTCAAATCACATCATGGCACCAAAATTATTTTGTCACTGTGATTTCTTTGTGATTACATAATAATACATTTATTATAGATAGTCGTAGAAATGATGGAAAGTTTAATACGTATTATTTACTTAATTATATAAAAAAACTGAATAATACTTCGTGGCCAAGACTAACTCCCGCCTCCCTTGCCTCAGTGTGAGCTGGCGGCGCCCTGTGATCCCCGCGTCAGGTGCATCAACATGTCGCCCGGGTTCAGGTGTGACCCGTGCCCGCCCGGGTTCAGTGGCTCCCCCGGCCTCCAGGGCATTGGCATCCAGTTCGCCAGGCAGAACCGTCAGCGCTGCCTCGACATCAACGAGTGCTACGACGGCAACAATGGCGGCTGTGTCCACAACTCCGAGTGCGTCAACACGGAAGTGAGTGCAGATTCACTCATAAACTACTGTTGATGATTTACATTACTCCTAGTAGCAATTAATTCTCACTAAGATTTACTGTTCTCTTCGTGTTAAAATTTCATTCTGAAGCTTTTTACAATGTTTGTATATAAAAATCCAGCAAGGAGGCACCGTACCACTTTACTACTGTTCTTCCCCTGTACAACACACTATTATATTTTATCTACATTGTACCACTGCATCACCGCTGAATACAATAATACATTAGTATTAAGTTCTTGTCTTCACACTATGTAATATAGTGAACAGTCTTCACTGTTCACTATATTATAGTGAAGTCTTCATGTTCGTTGCTTCTGGGAGTATGGGTTCGAGTCACTTCTGGGGTGTGAGTTTTCAGTTATATATATATATATATATATATATATATATATATATATATATATAGTATATATATATATATATTCACTGTTCACTATATTACTATGCATTATATTACTGTATCACCATCACATCATCGTACCCTATACCATTGTATTACATCACCACTGTACCACATCAGTTCAGTGGATGGTGGTGGGTATACTTGGCTGTCCACATTAAGTTGTACTTGCGGAGGTTAAGCTTCGGCTCTTTGGTCCCGCCTCTCAACCGTCAGTCAACTGGTGTACGGATTCCCCAGTCTATTAGGCGCTATCTACATTTTAAATTGTGCACGATGTCCGTCTCCACATCACTTCCCCATTTACGCCTCCACATTACTGTACTACCCCATCACTATAGTACCCCACACTGTACCTCCGTTGGCACTGTACCCCCGCTGTACTCACACAGGGGTCGTACTACTGCGGGGATTGCCTGGCCGGCTTCTCCGGCAACCAGAGCCTCGGCTGCCACAACCGGCCCGGCCTCTGTCCCGATGGGAAGCAGTGCGATGTCAACGCCGATTGTGTCAGGCCCTTCGGTCTCATGAGCTACACCTGCCAGGTGAGTGTTGAGCGTGTAAGGTGAGTGTTGCGTGTGTAAGATGAGTGTTGAGTAAGGTGAGTGTTGAGTAAGATGAGTGTTGAGCGAGTATCAGTACCAGCAGGTGTAGCAGCAGGCATATATAGCCCCACTTGCTCCACAGTGTCACGTCGGATGGGCTGGCGACGGCCAGCACTGCGCGCCGGACAGAGATCTGGACAGGTGGCCGGACTACGACCTGGGGTGCGCCGACCCCCACTGCCGCCAGGATAACTGCGTCTCCACACCCAACTCCGGTCAAGAGGACTCCGACAACGACAACATCGGTGACGCCTGCGACGTCGACGCCGACAACGACGGCATTCCCAACAGTCCCGTGAGTTCGAGCCTCATGATCAGGTTTCATTCTTAATTGTATTATTTTAAGAATTTAATCCATAACCTGAATCGCTTTTTACAGTATTCCTGCAGCTAGACTTCGAAGTCCCAGTTTACTGTAGTTATGTATGTACACTTGGGGGTCACTTTCACAGTAGTTATATACAGTATATACACCTGTCTCTGTCCACAGTAGTTATATGTATATACACACTGGTCACTTCCAAAGTAGTTATCTATATACAATTGGGGTCGCTCTTCACAGTAGTCACGTATATATATATATATATATATATATATATATATATATATATATATATATATATATATATATATATATATATATATATATATATATATATATATATATATGTCGTACCTAGTAGCCAGAACACACTTCTCAGCCTACTATGCAAGGCCCGATTTGCCTAATAAGCCAAATTTTCATGAAATAATTGTTTTTCGACTACCTAACCTACCTAACCTAACCTAACCTAACTTTTTCGGCTACCTAACCGAACCTAACCTATAGAGATAGGTTAGGTTAGGTTAGGTAGGGTTGGTTAGGTTCGGTCATATATCTACGTTAATTTTAATTCCAATAACAAAAAATTGACCTCATACATAATGAAATGGGTAGCTTTATCATTTCATAAAAAAAAAATTAGAGAAAATATATTAATTCAGGAAAACTTGGCTTATTAGGCAAATCGGGCCTTGCATAGTAGGCTCAGAAGTGCATTCTGGCTACTAGGTACGACATATATATATATATATATATATATATATATATATATATATATATATATATATATATATATATATATATATATATATATATATATATATACATTTATATAATGTCTAGCTGACATTATAATTATGAGGTGTGCAGGTTAGATGTAATTGTTAATGTAATAATCTCCTTTGAGGTCTGATTAAGATCTTTTGTGCCATCTGTAATCCTTTTTGCGCTACCGCTCACAGGATGAGTATAGAGTGCGCAATAAACTACTGCTCACAGGATGAGTATAGAGTGCGCAATAAACTACCACTCACAGGATGAGTATGGGGCACATAATAAACATTAATACATAATAGAGATATATTATTACTAAAAGCACACATGGCTTCCATGCCTACAAAACGCCTACAACGCAACTTAAGTCAATACTGGAAAAAAAATATGTAAAATCCGAAGAGACACAAACATCATTCGCTAAGTGGTAAATCTACCAGTGGTAATCAACTATTCCCCGCTCCTGTGCCAGGTAAGTCCTCTACGGGCTCACCATAGCCCGTGCTACTTGGAACTTTTAGTTCCGAGTAGCTGAATCTAAAACAACAACAACATCTTCAGCTTTAGGGCTCGGTCTTGGACCTCTGGAAGCCGTCCCTCCCTCTCATCTTGTTCTCTTCTGGTGCGCACACCCGCTTTCTCTTGTCTCACACCCCCTTTCTTTCTTTCTATCCAGGATAACTGCCCGCTGGTGCCCAACCCCGACCAGGCCGACACAGACCCCGACGGAGCCGACAAACAGGGTGACGCCTGCGACAACTGCCCCACCATCCCCAACCTCGACCAAGAGGACAATGATAAGGATGGCATTGGCGATGCTTGTGATCCCGATATGGACAATGACGGTGAGTGTGACCCCGATATTGCACAAACTGGATAGCACCGCCTCTCTCGATGAATATGACCTGGTCGTACACGTTCTCTTGGTGAATGTAACCTTGGTACTACAGGCTGTCGGTGGATATGTCCTGGTAGTACATGTTCTCTTCGCAAATATGACGCTAGTGATCTCATGATCTCTTGATTAATATGACCTGTTAGTACATGATCTCCTTAAATATGACCTTAATACATGCTCTCTTGATGTATATGACCTGGTAGTGCATGGTCTCTTGGTGAATGTGACCTTAGAACATGGCCTCTTAATGAAAACTATCATGATCTTTTCATGACGGTGACCTTAGTACACGCTGTCTTGACGAATATGACCAGCCAATACATGTTCTCTTCGTGAGTATGACCTTAGTACATTTCCTTTGTGAATATGACCTGGTAATACATGCTAATCAGAGTACACCGTAATACTATGTAACCCTCATTACAATATGTGACTCTCATCACAGTGTGACCCTCATTAATGTGACCATCACAGTGTGAACCTCATAAACAATTATGAAACAGTATAATATTTCAAATTACAATTCAGACCAGGAGCCATAGTGATAAGATAATCCCGGGCGTATTAAGCGAGCTGCGCGGTAACGCGTTTTGAGGACGGTGTCAGGACGCGTCCTTTGATTACCCATTATGTTTGTGTGGAGCAATAAGGTCACTCAGCCCTTCGGTGGTTCCCTCGCTACAGGTGTCCCCAACCGTCAGGACAACTGCCCGCGGACACCCAACTCAGACCAGCAGGACACGGACCGCGACGGGCTGGGGGACGCCTGCGACAACTGCCCCGATATCCGCAACCCGCACCAGGAGGACATGGACAAGGACCTGGTGGGCGACGCCTGCGACTCAGAAGGCGACATTGACTCGTAAGCTTTATTATACACGTCTATAGATATGTCAACCCATCCTCCTGGTTAGATAGTACCTTTTTTGTAGCCATGTTGTTGTTGGTCGTATCCAATATGCAGTAGTGGTGAAGCCTAGTAAGCCACTTTTTTGTACTTTTTTTATAGAGCCCAGAAAACAAAGCTAAATACCAAACTAAAATATTCCTAAGCTTAGTATAGCACATATATATGTGTGCTATATTAGGCCTCAGATAGCGTGTATTATGCCCAAGATAGTTAGGTAAGGTTTTATTAGCATCCAATATAAAAACTTTTCCGGTTTGTCCAAATTCAATACTACAAATGTCTATTTTCTGGTGGTCCATCACGACATATTTGTACTTTCGACCCTATAGTTACTATAGGTAATTTCATTTTAGTATGGGATGGTGGTGTTGGTAATGGATGTGGTGATAATAGTTCTCATGCAGGTGGTGATGGTGCAGATGCAGGTGGTGATGGTGCTGATGCAGGTGGTGATGGTGGTGATGCAGGTGGTGATGGTGCAGATGCAGGTGGTGATGGTGCAGATGCAGGTGGTGATGGTGCAGATGCAGGTGGTGATGGTGCAGATGCAGCTGGTGATGGTGCTGATGCAGGTGGTGATGGTGCAGATGCAGGTGGTGATGGTGATGGTGCAGATGCAGGTGGTGATGGTGCAGGTGGTGATGGTGCAGATGCAGGTGGTGATGGTGCAGATGCAGGTGGTGATGGTGCAGATGCAGGTGGTGGTGGTGATGGTGCAGATGCAGGTGGTGAGATGCAGGTGGTGATGGTGCTGATGCAGGTGGTGATGGTGCAGATGCAGGTGGTGATGGTGATGGTGCAGATGCAGGTGGTGATGGTGCAGGTGGTGATGGTGCAGATGCAGGTGGTGATGGTGGTGATGGTGCAGATGCAGGTGGTGATGGTGCAGGTGGTGATGGTGCAGATGCAGGTGGTGATGGTGCAGATGCAGGTGGTGATGGTGCAGATGCAGGTGGTGATGGTGGTGATGCAGGTGGTGATGGTGCAGATGCAGGTGGTGATGGTGGTGATGCAGGTGGTGATGGTGGTGATGCAGGTGGTGATGGTGCAGATGCAGGTGGTGATGGTGGTGATGGTGGTGATGGTGCAGATGCAGGTGGTGATGGTGGTGATGCAGGCGGTGATGGTGCTGAGATGTAGTTAACTGTGGTGAGCTCGACATCAAGATATAGGGAAGAAGGAATATAAATACATATATGGGCCTGATTTACTTGTGTTGATGTCGCCGCTTTCGTCGTAAGCGTCTTCACGTTTTCTTTGTTCCTCTGTAGATCAAGACGAAGGATGGAGTGGAGGAGAGGCTGAAGATAATATCGGCATGCCCAGCATGAACATGCAACCCGTCCTCCTAATAGAACGTCCCACTTTGACGTATACTTTATATCTAAGGCCAGAAAGTGTCGTATTAGAAAATGGTAGCGGTTGGCGAATTTGACATACTGTCCCGTTTTCTGTTTTGGGTCCTCTGGTAGGTTAAGATAAGGGGGCACTTTAGTACAACAATTTCTTGACGTTGGGAAACCTTAGGAGGACGGGCTGGAACATGACACGGGGGGATGAGCGTAGGTTATTGTTGTTGTTTAAGATTCGCTACCTGGAACAAAAAGTCCCAAGTAGCACGGGCTATGGTGAGCCCGTAGTGGATGAGCGCAGGTGTGGTGTCGACTGCAGGGCTGGGAAGGTCTCCACCTAGCTATATTTACAAGAGTTCTTACATTCTTGTAGTTTACGGACTATTCATGCCCGTGCCACCTCTTGGGTGGCTTAATCTTTATCAATCAGTCAATCAATCATTCTTGTAAGAATGTACAAGAATGGGGCTCACCATAGGTACCAGAAAATCTTCGATGCTTTACCCAAATTTGTAATGTGAAATTCCGGTAGACCCCATTTTCCAAAATGGGAGACATTTATTCACACTTTTTTTATTATTATTATCCAATTTAAATGAAATTAAACCTATTTTGAAGCTCTTCTTTGGCCAGATTTTAACTATTCTACAGACATTCTGGTGTCGTAGACATCTTGAGTAATGTATAAGCAGTTGACTCTGATTTTGAATGATGCAACCCAGCCATGCTGGCTTAGAACTTTCTCATAATTATTTACAGTTTGTTGCATCTCTCGAGGACAATATTGACAATTATCACAACACCTTTCATTATACGATTATGTTTATCTTCTCCGTATGACTGACTGGTCTCCGTGTCCATAACGTCCATATGTTCCCGAAGTCGTCTGATTTTCCTGTTGTCAAGCCCTCCTCCACCCCACCCGTCCACGTCTTGAGACCTTCCCTCCATTTTATCTTGTCTGTATTAAAGTCACCCCTCTCAACATAACAGCGATGGCGTCAACGACGACATGGACAACTGCCCCGATACGCCCAACAGCAACCAGCACGACGCAGACGACGACGGACGCGGCGACGAGTGCGACCTCGATGCTGACAACGATGGCATCCCCAACAACAGAGACAACTGCTGGCTCGTCTATAACCCCGACCAGCGCGATTCCAACGGCAACGGCATGGGCGACATCTGCGAGGGTGACACAGATGACGACGACGTCCCCGACTACCAAGATAACTGCCCCAATAACTCCAAGATCTACGCAACTGACTTCAGGTAAGGTTGGGGTGGAGGAGGCAGGAGTAATAAACAGATGAAAGGTACGTGCAAGTCAGAGGGAGAGTAGAAAGATGGAAGAGAAGTTAGTGTTGCTAGGAACGGAGAGATGGAAAGAGAAAACAAAGTGGAGAGAAAACTTAAAAAGTTGACAGACAGAGGGAAATAGAAGGGACAAGATGGACGGAAAATGAAGATATAAAAGGAGGTGAGCAGAGAATGGGATAAAAATAGAGGAAAGGTATAGAGATTGTAAGAGGAAGGGTAAATAGGAAGGTTAGTATAAGAAAAAGGAAACAGAATCGAGAGGAAAAGATACCAAAATGATGTGCTTAAATTTCCGTTAACTCTTCCATTTACACACTTCATATAATAGGCTGCAGCACCCTCCGCTCCTGCGGGTGTACCGTACCTGATCATCTGTACCACCATTCCCCCAGAACTGTACCTCACACTTCCCCCCTACAACCGTACCTCCCTCGTAACCGCACCTGCCTTGCTGTACCTCACACATATCCCAGAACTTTACCTGCCCTTCTATGCAGCCTCCAGTGCCTCACCTGACTTTCTGTACTCTCAACCTACCCCAGAACTGTACCTCACCCTCTCTGTACCTCTCCCAGAACGTACCAGACAGTTGTGCTGGACCCCGAGGGAGACTCTCAGATAGACCCCAACTGGGTCATCTACAACAAGGGCGCAGAGATCGTCCAGACCATGAACTCCGACCCTGGCCTGGCTGTAGGTAAGTGCTTCCCTGCGCCAATACCAGTTGATCTTGGCGCCCCTGGATATGTTAGCATTACTCCTATCTTTGTCCTCAACTGCACAATACCTAGACAACGATTCAAAATAATTCAACTCAGAAATTGGAATTCACACAGTACGTTGATTGATTATATCTTTCAGGTTTCCATAGATTTGGCGGAGTCGACTTCGAGGGCACCTTCTTCGTGGACACAGAGATAGACGATGACTACGTGGGCTTCATATTCAGGTTTGTAAGCTTCAAACACTTGTCAATCTTCTTGTTGAACATTGCCCTATTAACGAGGACTTGGATTCGTGAAGCCATTATGAAAGTTCTTAGGAAACCTTTCCTTTTTAATGCCGTGTTAGCGGCTGCGTCGCGAGTCAACCTCCTTACAAACGCCGATCTCCCTAAGAACGCCGCTGCACGCCAAGACACCTCCAGGGCACCTCCAGGGCCCTCTAATGCTTTATGTAAACCGCACACAAGCTACGTTTTCTGGCCTACACAACAACGAACTGAAAATACCTTGGTCGCTGGATCCCGTCAAGACAGCGACATACGCTCTATAAGTGTCCGTAACTCGTATTAAATACTGTATGTATTTTATTGGAGTATAGTTTAGATTTTAATGTGATATAATACTTTTAGTAATTTAAAAGTACATTACTGTATTCAAAGTAATTAATATTTTTTTAGATGCTACATTCGCTAATAATATTCATAATATTATAAATATTAGGAAGCCTAAATTAATAAAGATGATACTGAGAAAATTCGTATTTTCTCATTGACACGTCATGTTAGTGTGGTAACTGTGTAAAGATGATACTGTTGAAAATAGTATTATTTACATAACATATATATTAATACATGTTACAGTGGTTAATTAGTAGATACAAATACGTTTTATCTTGTAAAAACCATGAAAGAAGTTGTAAAGCTTAGCTTTATCCATAATTATTTAATTTTATGTCTTAGATACGTTGAAAATTTAATGTTTTGTATCAGGAAAGGCAGAAGCTGCATTTTAAATCGTTTACTACTAATATATCTCGTTTAAGCGAGAAAAAATTATATATATATATATATATATATATATATATATATATATATATATATATATATATATATATATATATATATATATATATATATATATATATATAAATAGGCAAGCCTGGACAAAGCCAGGCACTTGTGAGGAGGTACAAAGCATCGTGGGCATCCAAAGCCCCTATTCTTCCCTCCATCCTCTTCAGGGCGTTCAGCTTTTCTTCAAGGACTACCTCAATGGTGCTAGAGCCCAGAGGTACCACTAGAAACACGGTTTATATATATATATATATATATATATATATATATATATATATATATATATATATATATATATATATATATATATATATATATATATATATATATATATATATATATATATATATATATATATATATATATATATATATATATAATTTCTGAAAAGCCGTCCAGACCCTCTTATAATTGCGTAGGTAATGAATATAATATTTCCTGTAATGTTGATGCTGAATATAGAACGCGAAGAAAAAAAATCAATTTGAGAGATAATTTTTTTTTGTTTTTGTAACGAAATAAGACGATCGATGGGAGCTACGATTTCACAAATGTATGTGACCTGTGAATTGTGCAGCTGAGCCGGCAACGTGATTTGCTAGACGATAAATGGACAAGGTTACCTTCATGCTGATTGGTCAAACGAAAAATAGTAGTGACCTCTGTTGAGAAGCAGGTGAACGATAACAAAATCCCTAATAATGTCGCAGGAACATCTTGCTGAATCTTGCATAAGGATGTTCTTACACAGTTCATAACAACCTTCGTGACAGCCATTTAAGAAGAAATACATGACGCTTAGTGAATCGAAGATCAGTTTGGTCAAGAAGCACATGTCCTTAAGCAGCCTTTAGTGCTGAATATTATTAATTATACGATTAGAGAAAACGTGAAACTAATCAATAGTTTCAGAAGTGGTTAATACGTGAATTGTTCCATAATTGGTGAAAACTTAAATATATTATTTTGTTTAACAATATCATTCATAACCACTAGACCGTGTAAATAGAGGACGATTATGCAAGGCTTCTTGCTAATCACTAAACCATTTTTTATTAGCCAGCAACGCCGACAATAACAAGATGCAATTCTTAACAACATATAATAGTCGCCAGAAAGCATACACAAGTCAATTCTCCTATTTGTTTTTGTATAAAGTAAACAATTTAGCTCAATCTAGCTTCTAGCCAAATTTATGAGATATTCTGCCTGACAAATGGTAAAGAAATATATACAAACTTCTCCTTTAACAGTTACCAGGACAATGCCAACTTCTACACGGTGATGTGGAAAAAGAACACTCAGACGTACTGGCAGGCGACGCCATTCAGAGCTGTGGCCGAGCCTGGTATACAACTGAAGTTGGTGCAGTCTTCCTCGGGGCCAGGACAGATGATGAGGAACTCTCTATGGCACACTGGCGACACTGAGGACCAGGTGCGTGCAAGGCAGATGGAAGGAGATGAGGAACTCTGGGTTTAGTCTGGGAAGGAAGGCGATAGCTATAACTGGAACGGGTTTAAAGCAAGCACTTCTGTGCAGTGTCTGTAGAGGTTATTTAGGTCCACGTGGGTATCTATGGGAGTGTAGAAGCATGGTGAGGGAGAAGAGGGGAAATTAATTTAAATGTCTAAATATAAGGTTGTAACCATAGGAAATGAATTAGTCCAGTTTCCCTATGAGACCAGAGCAGGTGATAAACTGCTTGTCGAGACAACTCATCTTACGTTTGCCTCCTATTTCTTTTTCTTCCCATTCCTGAACGCTTTCTAGGTCCATCAATCCACAGTTCCTCCATCATCTACGATGCTTTTAGCCTTTATCCCTCGTCAAGAAAGGCTGGAAATGGCATGGGTAGAAGATGGATGGAGTTATACATATTAATTGGAGGAAAGGCCAGCAGAGACATTGGGTGGCGGGTATAATTTGGGAATGGACAGACGAAGCATGGGTGAATGAAAATGGACCTTTTTTTTCTTCTCCCTGTCCGTGGACGCCTCTGTCTATTATTCCATCCCTGTCTTGGTTTGTGTGTGTGTGCTGACTGTGCAGCGTTGCTCCCTCCCCTGCAGGTGAAGTTACTATGGAAGGACCCGCGCAACGTCGGCTGGAAGGAGAGGACCGCTTACCGCTGGCTGCTTCTTCACCGACCCAAGATCGGCCTCATCCGCCTTCGTATCTTCGAGGGCGAAAACATGGTGGCCGATTCTGGCAACATCTTCGACAACCAGCTGAAGGGCGGTCGTCTAGGCGTATTCTGCTTCTCACAGGAGATGATCATTTGGTCAGATCTTGTCTATCGCTGCAATGGTTAGTTACGTTATGTTTTGCAGAGGTGGTGGTTACGCATCATCATCAATGCAATTTATATTGTTTGAAATGAGGCTTAGCCAGCCGACATAACTTTAACAAGGGGCTCTTGTTAGTCATAGGAGTTTAAGAGCGTGATAAAGTAAGCGAGTTTGCTATATGAACTTAAATCTAGAGCCATTTGTGAAGTATTTGTATTAAGCACATATTCGCTCAGTCTCGAGTGCTAGGCTTCACTGTGTACTCTGCGTATGGGATGGTTGTAAATTAGGCTAGGCATCATGTACACCTTAAGTCAAATAACGTGGATGATAATTCGAAACCCATCCCACACAACATGCCCTGGCTTTGTTGTCTCTTGCCTGTCTCACTTTATACTAAAATGCTCTAACCTTAATAAAGGTTATCTGACTTAGCTTTAGCCTCTCTGGGCTCTTTTCTTTCTCTCCTGTTGCTATCTTCTTTGTCTCTATTTTCACCTTATTCTCTTCGCCTTTAGGTTTTCTGCGGGTTTCTGTATTCCTATTAATGCCTATGATATACGTGTTACCTCCTCGCCTTTTATCTCACATTCTTACCTTATGTATTGGCTTTCACCACAACTTTCTTTCCACGGCTTGATGTGGTGTTCTTTACACGGCTTCGATCCAGAAATGACCGAACCATGGTTACTTCAAGTTTCAGTTGTGTCACCCTAGATGACTAAGGATATACGGTTCATTATCAGTAGGAAGATAAGAGTACAATGGCCTGAGGCGCTACGACTTGTTACTCATTCAATACATGAGAAGCAGTGATAGCGACAGTGTCACTCCTATTGTCCCTGCCAGTGTCACGGCTACTGTCTCCGTCACTGTCAGTATTGACTGGTATTGCTTCCCCTTCACTGATAAGTGTATTCCTTCCCAGATCAAGTGCCGGAGGCCATCTACAACCAGCTGACTCCAGAGCTGCAGCGTTTCGTGGACATCGACAACAGCAGACCCGTGCCCAACGGCTTGTAGACCCGCCGCTCGAGGCGTCCAACAACCTCAGGAGAACGGGTCCTTATAACGACAGTTTATATTTAAAATGGACTAAATCTACTTAAAGGGGACGTTGGTTAGGTTAATGAAATTTGTGTTTACGCAACCAGAGCCGCATCTGCTAAAACAAATATGGCGTTAAATAATAAAGACTTCTCAACTTGGGAATCGATGGTGGACTTAGTACAGATAAATGGTTTTTGCCTAAGGAGAGAAAAAATACTTCTTGAGAAAAACTGCTCATGATAGCACATATCTTCATAATCTAATATCTGCAAACAAATATATCTAAAAGGCTCAGTGCCTTAAGGAGAAAATAGTGAAATTGCTTTGTAGTATCGTGAGGTCAATGGAACATCAATGGAGAGGTAGGCTCCGACACACTGCCATTGGTTGCCACGTGTGAACAAAGGCACTTAGATTCTTCTGTGATTGAGAAATACTATTAATTGGGTTCTTAGGAATCCTGCATAAAAATGACCGGTTCACTTTTTTTTTAACAATTCTGGCTTCTTGGTTACATGCGCAGTGAGCCCCCATGCATACATGCGCAGTGAGCCCTATGCACACACGCGCAGTGAGCCCCATGCCTACATGCGCAGTGAGCCCCATGCACACACTGCAGAGCCCCATATACACACGCGCAGTGAGCCCCATGCATACACGCGCGCATGTCAAGCCTCAACAGTACGGAACCATACATTATAACGAGACATACGTTGTCCTAAGCCTATTGCCACATCAACATCTCCTAATTTTAATCAAGAGAAATATTGAAACTGTCAAATACAAGTTAACATTGACATTGTTGGAGTTAAATTGCGACCAAACACCAACATTATGGATTATACTGAACTGGAAATTTAGGTTTTTGCTTGGGCTTAAAAATCTCATAATCATATCAAATAAAATATATTTATGTAGGTGTAAGGTCCCGTGTACATTAAGGGTATAAGAGGTGTAAATAGCTTGAGGTGACATATCGCATCATTAACAGTGAGTTTAACCCAGCAAGTCTGACCCTCTGTCTAAGGGAGAATTTGTCAAGTTGAGGGTTAGGTTTGTCTAAATTATATTAGGTGTAATTTTATTTGACACTGAATATGGCACGAACCTTCCTAACATTTCTGTGGTTATTTTTCATTTGGGAAGTTGAAACATTGACTTTCCAAAATACATTTCACATATATAATGGGCCTGAGGTATTTTGCTAAGTTCAGTTTAGCATACTGAGAGGCAGAGGGATTATAACACTATCATATATAGTCCGTGCAAGTGTTAAAAAGAGTTCTCTTGGTTGATGAGCACCCACTGCTCGAGCTCACCGGTTGATGAGCACCCATTGCTCGAGCTCACTGGTTGATGAGCACCCACTGCTCGAGCTCACTGGTTGATGAGCACCCACTGCTCGAGCTCACTGGTTGATGAGCACCCACTGCTCGAGCTCACTGGTTGATGAGCACCCACTGCTCGAGCTCACTGGTTGATGAGCACCCACTGCTCGAGCTCACTGGTTGATGAGCACCCACTGCTCGAGCTCACTGGTTGATGAGCACCCACTGCTCGAGCTCACTGGTTGATGAGCACCCACTGCTCGAGCTCACCGATGAGAATGCAGTAGGACATCGACATCAATCTCTTAGCACCCCAACAACAACTATATACCAAATTATTTGTTGACTTTCAATTTCCCTTTGCCTCTGAGGATGCTAGGATAAACTGGGCTAACGGAGGATGACCATTTTTACCTGTAAAATGAGATTTAGATCATTACATTTTCAGCTTCCTTCCCGAGTGAAAAGGCACCAACGAAATTAACAAAAGTCGTGCTTTTGATCAAGCTTTTTATTCGACGCTTCAACATAAGTATGCATCATTATCAGTACACACGAATATTATTTGTCAGTCATCATTTAAAATGATTACAATTATCAAAATTTACAATGTTCTTTCAATATATATATAAAAAAAACTAGTAGTTAAATTACCTTAAACACTGTTCAGAAATGGCAAAATTTAGTTTTTGTAAACAATTAGCTGAATCTTAAACCAAGTTAAAATACAACAAAACAATTAATGAAACTAGATTCGCAGCAAATAGTATGCGAAAATTGCTACATGAAGGATCACTGTGAAGGAAAGACCACGGCAGGAATGGGAGTCACATAACCGATTCCTGTACAACAAACTTGTTCTTAAGAGTCAACTAATATTTACAGATGTCATGTTCTCTTGTCTGCATTAAGTGTTAAGGTAACTTAACTAATGCTTCGCATAGTTTTAGAAATTAGTGTAATTTGCCATTTCACAAAATGGAAATGGTACACGAGGCTCGACGCCGACCACCCTTTGTCCATCCCGTACCTCAGACCCTTCACCCTGCAAAATTTTCGTGAGGGTAGCTCCAAGCGTCTCGCCTCCAACTTTGGACAAACATTTATATATATATATATATATATATATATATATATATATATATATATATATATATATATATATATATATATATATATATATATATATACCTAGTAGCCAGAACTCACTTCTCAGCCTACTATTCAAGGCCCGATTTGCCTAATAAGCCAAGTTTTCCTGAATTAATATATTTACTATAATTTTTTTCTTATGAAATGATAAAGCAACCCTTTTCTCTATGTATGAAGTCAATTTTTTTTTATGGAAGTTAAAATTAACGTAGATATCTGACCGAACCTAACCAACCCTACCTAACCTAACCTAACCTATATTTATAGGTAAGGTTAGGTTAGGTAGCCAAAAAAAGCTAGGTTAGGTTAGGTTAGGTAGGTTAGGTAGACGAAAAAACATTAATTCATGAAAACTTGGCTTATTAGGCAAATCGGGCCTTGAATAGTAGGCTGAGAAGTGCGTTCTGGCTATTAGGTACGACATATATATATATATATATATATATATATATATATATATATATATATATATATATATATATATATATATATATATATATATATAATACATATATATATATACACACACACACACACACACACACACGCAAACTCGCACAACATAAAAAAATTAAACTTTCGTCGATATTTCAAGGCATTGACAATTTTAATGATTGAGAATGTCTTGAAATATGAAAGAAATCTTGAGTATGTCTTGTTTTTATTCGCCTGTGAATTTATGAATTTATAAATACTTCCCAAAACACCACTGTGAACTAGCCGTGTACAAACATATTAAAATGTTGCAGTTATGCACTCTTTACTTTGTCTAGAGTTAGGCTCCAGATATTCATGAGTATTATACTCCCAGCTAGGCAAAACTGAGAATATCTCCACTATTGTAACCAACTATAGACAGATTCCAGTATAAATGTCCAAATTTTACTAATCCCTAGTTCTACAAATTATAGGACAAAAAAATGAAAATACACACTCCTTACAAAAGTTTACAATGTGTCAGTCACGGTTCATAGGCTATTCGTGAGATGCAAAAACTCGCTGTTAATTTTAACTTTTCACGCTGATTCCACCTAAGTTATCAAGATTAAATGACTAATTAAATGAGAAACGTTTTGATACAAATTTTCAGCGCGCGTCAAAGGCATTATGCTGTTTATGGATGGTTGTATTCTAACACTTTTTTTCAGTTAAGTGTTGGTATTTCTCCTAATGCGTGTACATTATTGCTGAAGGATCTGTAGTGCTATACAGTATATGCACTGCTACTGCCTTTTGGACGATGCAAACCAGGTTTCCTTTATAACAACCAACTCCCACCCCAGAGTTCACAACTATTCGCAGACTTAGAGTTTGAAAATGTCTTCTAAATCGAAACAAGTTGTATTCACTGTTTCGTGTTCTATTTTGTGTTTTATATTTAGCACCCCTATTAACATCCTTCCCCCACCCTCCCCTCCCCCTGTAATACCTTTTCATCCATTTGTATATTTAAATTATGTTTCCCCTTTCTCTTGGCAGTTCTAGAGAATGTAAACAAACTCTAGTGCTGGACAGAGAAGTGGCAAGTGCGCGTTAGCTTTGAGGAATACAGATTTGTTAACCTTGAGAAGGACAGTGATACTATACAGTGATAGGTAGACCAAACAGTGATGCTATACAGTCATATGTAGACCGAACTGTGATACTATACAGTTAGAGGTAGACCAAATAGTGATGCTATACAGTCATAGGTAAATCAAACAGTGATGCTATACAGTCATAGGTAGACCAAACTGTGATGCTATACAGTCATAGGTAGACCAAACTGTGATGCTGTACAAATCATAGGCTCCCAAACTACAGAATGAATATATACCACAGATAATCAAAATAAGGATGACAAGACCGATATCTGGTATCGGGGACCTTTCCAATGAAGACCTCTTGCAAAGTCTTTAATCTTCACATGCTAAAAATACGAAGGTCAAAAGGAGAGGGGGACGCATGACTGAGGACTTAAAGTGGGCTTGGGGCCCCCGTAAACAGTTCTGAAACTGCCAGAAAGGGTTGAAACCCCCAACAATGGGCAAGTGACATTTAATTTTAGGAGAGATAGGAAAATACTGATTTAGAAATAGAGGGGTGTGGATAAGCTAAGTGGGCTGCCAGGTAGTATTGTTGAGACAAACAGTTTATCAGGTTTCATGAGTAGATGGATAGATATATGGGAACGAGTAGTTGGATTTTAACGGAACCCGTTTAGTATAGGTCAACAGGTCTGCTGCAGTGCTTCTTGATTCTAATGTTCTTGATCTCTCTTCATGTGGTAGGTTTCTAATTCCTAGGATTAACTTTGCAATCATACTATGTACAAGCTCAAGTAAAGTTATATCCATTCTATAATATGGTGACCAAAACTGACAAGCCCCCATTTTATAACTTGCTTCTGGCTTGAAGCGAAAATCTATAATAAACGACAGTGCACGCAAACTTCCTTGTTTACAGAGGTAATTCTTAGGTCAGGACACCTACTACTTCATTATATCCTCAGACTCTCTTGTTTAATATTTTATTATATAATAATGCTACTTAAAAGATGTCGTATCGTTCCATTTGTACTTTACATAAACCTTGTTGACCGGAGTTGCACATTGCCGCACCCTTTACCCTCATGATCAGTAAATGTAATTTATCTACAGATAATTGGAATTGCGATTATTTTGTTGACTAATGAAAGAGGAAATTAATTATTATGCTCAATTTAATATGTCGGCAACGTGACCAACTCGCTTATTAGTTGTCTATTCTGTTTTAACTGGAATAATTCGTTCACATTCAAGACTAAGATAGCTTGACTTCGATTAAGTAAATCATGTACAAAGTTTATATAACTCTTAACATCCATACATCTATGAAAAATATTAGTTTTTATGCTTCATGTGGTGTATTTTTTAGTCGGAAAGATTTCTCCTCATACGTCATTCAACTTTGTCATACAAATTTTAATAATTATATTTTAAGTTCATTACCTGTGTAAGATTGTTTATACTTGTATATTGTTAATAACTGTATTAGAGTTTTATACTCGGCCAATTTAGTTTCCCTTCACAAAATTAACCTTGGTTATAATTGTTAGTTTTTTCAGAAGTATTAGTTTATTTAACCTTGTTAGCCATTTCTTTAAAAAATATTATTTGTTATGCCTGTTGAAACAAGTTATCGGCCAACAGCCACTTCAGCCAGTGTAACTTCAACATCGTCCTGTTATAAAATGTAACCACGAAAAGCTAGTTTGTTTGATAACCTTCAATCCATACAATATGTTCCCAAGCAGGACCAGTTAGGTCAGATTTGTCCAGCACTGCCGTTATATGCAACCATAAGTATATTTGCCCAGCGCTATTTTTTTTCTAAATACTAACATAGACTTGTACAGTGCTACCTTTATATACGACCATTAGTAAATTTGTCCAGCACTACCACTATATACGACCATTTATTAGTTTGTCCAGTGCTACTCAAGTAGGAATTTCCCCAAACTTGTTGTTGAATTCATCAATGAGCTGCTGAACCTCATCACGCTGGTCTTTCTGACACATCATCTCCCCAATCGACTAGGGTTAGCCAACTCCCTACCACCAGAATCTTTCTCACCCATGGGAACACAAGCTATAGCACAGGTCGCAGGATTACGCCCCCTGATCCTTTTTAGTCTACTGAAATGGACAATGATCACCTGTCTAGACTGTTCCAGATAGGTCAGCTCCCCTAACCCCTCAACGACTCTACAGGGTCCATCGAGTTTGTAGATAATGGCAGTAACCTCCATCTGAGGCTTCAGCACCATAAGTTTATCCCCTGACTCAAAACAACTTAGTTTGGCCTTAAGTTTCTTGTATTGACGGTCCTTCGTGGCCTCCTGGGCCTCCCCTAAATATTTTAGACCTCTTCCTAACCTTACTCGGGAATTGACTACCTTCAGATAACGTTACGTCTACCATAAGCCTCTGGCGAAGCATCTTCAGGGTGCTTCCCCGATGTTGAAAAACCAGTTCGAAAGAAGAACACCCCCAAGGAAGTATGTAACCCTTCACAAGTGGCAAAACCAGTCTTATGAGGAGATTGTCATCCCAAATACAACTCGGAACACTCCTTTATAGCCTTGAGCATCCACAGCTAATGTGGATTTTCTCATTATTATTATTATTATTATTATAAGAAAATGAACGCACTTACCGTAATCATGAAGGTTTCTTATGGTTCTAATTCGCCCTAACCATCTTAGTACGACATTAAAATGGTTTACTGACCAGAGCAGGTGGCATGCACACACATACCTAGAAAGGCAATTGGCATTAGACAATATAGGTGAAGGGAATTTAATTAATTAAATAATTATTTAAAAGTAAATTTTGTAGATCCCAGATTTGTTTCTTCTTTATTAAATAATATACAATATAAAGATCATATTTACATCAATTTACAAGGGAAAATAATACATTTATATAGTGTATGTAATTCTCAGTAAACAAATTTTCCATATCACAGAGCATGAGCCGTAAACCCCTAATATTATACTTGATCCTGCCTCGCAAGAATATTAATATTCTGTCTACTGAGTAACCCTCCTGCCTGCCTGCCTGCCTATATACACACAAAAAAAGTAATTAGAAAGTAGCATAATTATTGTATTTTTAATTTTCCTGCAGTTTATGTCAATATGAAAC